AAAACCCCAACAGGTGTTCCTTAATCCTGGCTGGATAGCTCCCTCAGAGGGAAGAAGCCCATCCTGGCCTTCAGGAGTCAAAAATACAATGTTTGTAAGGCCAAAGTAGTTTTGAAGTTTTGGGATCCTGACCCACATGGAGAGGGAAGCGCCCGAATGGAGAGGGAAGCGCCCAGTGTGATTTTATATAATTGTTTTTCTAACTTCTTTCAATGGCTGTACTTTATTAAATATTTTACTTTATTTATTTCAGGAATTGTATCCTGGAGCATTTTCCACATGTACCCTGTGGATGGTGAGGGAAAAACTAAGGGACATTTAAAAATCATGAAGACGTGAACAGGAATTTCAAAAGATAGATATTTGAATACATTAAAAATTTAACCGGATACCAAAAAATTATAACTGAACATTGAGTGTAATATTTACCATTAAAGACTTCTAACTTAACTTTTCATTTGTAGTGCATTACTATTTACTTCACACTGACATTAAAATGTTTAAGTGAGTCATGTGATCATTTTTTGCTCTGTATTATTACAAAGAAGTTTCTTAATTCCTTAAAAAGGACAATATAATTGCTCTCTTTTCAGAATATTTTCATTGGATGTTATATTTTTTTCTGATTTTTCCATGGATATTCTTTGAAATTTCCAAGGTTTTTGCTCAAATAAACCTTGGAAAATTCCTCTGATGCCCTTAAGTAAGAATCCTTGAAAATATAACAGTATTCCCAGTTGGTGAGAAACTTTCTGAGGTTTTCATTTAAAAAAACCTTGGAAAACAAACCACGGAAATACTTTAAAAATCCTTGAAACGTTCCAATACTCCGAGGTCACTCATTTTCCAAGGTTTTTCTAAACAAAATCCTCGGAAAATTATTTTACGAGGTTTTTATTCTGAAATCCTTGGAAATCGTTCCAATACTCCGAAGGTCACTCATTTTACAAGGTTTTCTAAAAAAATCCTCGGAAATTATTTTACGAGGTTTTTATTCTGAAATCCTTGGAAATCGTTCCAATACTCCGAGGTCTTACTTTTTACGAGGTTTTTTTTTTAAAAAACTCGGAAATTTTTTTACAAGGTTTTTCACTCTCTCCCTATTTTTCCAAGGTTTTTTTAATAGCAAAGTTTTGCATTTTCTTGTTCCAATACTCCGAGGTTTTTTTCCAAGGATTTTGAGCCAAAAACCTTGGAAAATCTACACCCGGGTGTTACAATACTGGGTAAACCCAAAAGCCCCCATCGTCACTCCGTACAATTTAGTCTTTCCTTTGCTCTTGCACAGCAAAGGTGTGCCACCGTCATACTAAAAATAGAACATACAAATATTAAGTGTTGACTTTAGGCGTATTTTTGCATCATACCAACACTCCAGAATGACAAATTAGGCTGTGCAAAGTAAGCCAAAACTATTATTTCATTCAATGCCTGTGACGTTATTCAGTGCCTTAGCTTTGATACTCTTGTTTGCTCTATATATTATGTTCTGTTAATATATTGGCATTTGTCTGATACTAACCGCTGTTACCTGTTACTGAGTTTCGTCACCGGTTTTGAACTATTAACTGACCCTACCTGTTTAAACGGATAAACATGACAACCCTACTTTTCAGATGAAATGAGATTCTAAATTTCTTTAAAAAAAAGTTACTATCCAAATTTAACACATTTGAAAATACATGTATACCATTGTTACTTTTTAAAGGATTGTTGGAGCTACTATTTACCTTGCATGTGTTTGTCAAGTCTTGGTTAAAAGCACATAAAAACAGTTTCTTAAAGTATTTCACCACCAGTGCAAATCGATGGTTTTAGCATGGCTGGACTGTACTTCCTCATAGTTGTGGGTAGTAGAGTCTGAACTAAAATAGATAATGAAAACAACCGGATATTAGCGATTTACAACCCAAATATAGCGATGTTTTTTTAACTTCTAGACGTGCAAAGCTTTTATTAAATCTCCGTTCTATGAAGGACAGTAGGGGTCACTCTTAGTTAAGTTCTTTACAGCACCATCAGGTATATTTAAATCATTTAAAAGACCATTTTGTATATTTGAATTCACAAATTAAGTCGACACCAGCAAAATATATAGATTGCAAGAAGATTTTACTAGATATAAAATTGGGAGAACAGTGAAAGACCAGGGTTTTTATTGTTGCAATCTTAAACATGAAAGAAAGTATAAATTTGTTTACATTAATGAATATCCCTAGCACTGGAAGAGAATATTTAGCGCATGCGCAATCTTGTTGGGCAGTAAGTGAGATCTATGCAACAATGAAGAAATATATATCAAACATGTCTGAAAAATAATGTGTAATTTAAGTTGATAAAGATAGTGAGGTATCAACCCAGCATCTAATCTATTGCATAAATTATTTAAGAATTGACAAATTACATTTATCCCATTTAATGAAGCCATATCCCGGAACTATGCACGCGCCTTTTTTCTTATGAATGTTCTTGTCTTCCTTTGAAGATTTAGCTAAATTTTGTAGACCGAACGTCTGAAATGAAAGACAAGAATGATGATCAGAATAATATTAACAGGTAATCATACATTGTATTTAACTCATTTATTCTCGGTCATTTCTTTTTAGCTCGACTATACGAAGTATATGGAGAGCTGTCCTACTCGCCCCGGCGTCGGCGTCTGCGTCCGCGTCCAGATTTTAGATTAAAGTTTTGGTGCAGTAAAATATTTTTCACTATAACTTTGTCATTTCTTAAGGTATCAACTTCAAACTTCAAATATATCTTCCTTATCATCAACCACATCATATGTGACAAGGTTCATAACTCTAGCACCAATATTTTCAGATTGATCTCCCCTTGAACTTAGAATTTTCCTTAAAAAATACTATTTTTTACTGTTACTTCCTTATTTCTTAATGGATCAACCTCATACTTCAAATATATGTACCTTATCATCATCCCCATCTTATGTGACAAGGTTCATAACTCTAGCACCAATAGTTTCAGATTTATCTCCCCTTGAACTTAGAATTTTCCTCAAAAAGTACTATTTCTTACTGTTTCTTCTTTATTTCTTAAGGGATCAACCTCATACTTCAAATGTATTTACGTTATCATCATCCCCATCTTATGTGACAAGGTTCATAACTCTAGCACCAATATTTTCAGATTTATCTCCCTTTGAACTTAGAATTTTCCATAAAAAATATTTTTTTTACTGTTATTTATTTATTTCTAAAGGGATCAACTTCATACTTCAAATATGTTTACGTTATCATCATCCACATCTTATGTGACAAGGTTCATAACTCTAGCACCAATATTACAAGAATTATCTCCCCATAAACTTAGATTTTTTTACTAGAAAAATGTTATTTTTTATTATAACTTTTTTATTTTTAAAGGTATCTACCTCAAATTCCAAATTCCAAATACTTATTCCTTATCAACAATTACATTTTATGTGACATTGTTCATAACTCTTGATGCAACATTTACAGATTTATCTCTCTTTGAACTTAGGATTTTCTTTAAGAAATATAATAGCTTCTTTTCTTTTTAAGGTATCTGCTTCAAACTTCAAATATATGTTTCTTATCATTACACAAATGTTGTGTGACAAGGTCCATAACTCTAGCATGACTATTTCTAGCATTATTCCCCTTGATCTTGGAATTTATGTTAACAAATATTATTTTTTTACTATAACTTAATACATAATTATACATAATTTTTTCATAGTTTTGTCCTCCTTACTGCGTCCAGTATTTCATTAGTCGAGCTTCGCTGTCTCCTGTGACAGCTCTTGTTTGTTATATTCTAAGTTTTTTTGGAAAAAAAAAAGGTTTAGAACAAGGTGTGCAATTTAACGTTCAAGTACAAAAAAAATGTAATAATAAATGTTTCTCATTTTCTTGAAATAAAAACACAAATTTCAGTTCGGTGTAGCTTTTAAGCATTCCGACCTTCCATTTACACAACTCTCTCTTCACTTATTTTGACTTTTTTTATTTCAAGTCCCGCGCACTACCATCTCCACCGACCTACAATTATAATTCAAATAAGAACATAATATAAGAACAGCTCTGTTAATTACCTTGACCCTTTCTCCTAGTTCCGGCTCATTTTCAAGCTGTAATAAAGCAACATCCCCTTCAATTCCATTGGTAGGATCTAGTTTTGGGTGCTGCAAAAAAAGTTTCATTGCTTGAACACGTTTGTAGCAGAAACTATCAAAGAAAACATAGACTGAGATTCCCTAAAGATACACTTTTCACAATTTAAGATAATTTGAAATACAGTCAAACAATTTAATCACATGTTTTCAACATTTTTTGAGTTAGTGATTTAGTCTTAAGTTTTAATGCTGTGACTATTTCATGAATCGATACTGAAAAACTTAAATATTAACTAAAAATTTACAACATATATTAAACCAAAACCAGTTATTTAATCACTTATTTGGCTAATTATGTCCAATAAAAGAAGAAATTCAGTCTGTATTTAGTACATTCTACAGAAAACATGAGTAATGAAAGCAAACAAAAGAAATGAAACTGCAGACCCAGTTTGGTGGAGTCTGTTCACTTGAGATGATGCAAGGTGCAACATTACACCCGCTAGCATTGGCTTAAAGCAGCATGTCTCCAGATTCACACTAATTTTCATGAATTTTTTTTCAAAATGTATTCAAGAACTGTATATTTTTAGCTCCATGTTGAGAGTAAAATATCAAAAAGAGGTCAAAATATGCAAAAATAGCACTTACTATGTTAATCGTGCAGTAGAAATATGGTGATCACTACTGTCAAATAAGTCATTAATCACACATAAAATGTAAATTACTATTTCAATCTTGAATCTTTTTACTTTGCATAAAATCTTAGTTTTTTTATTTTTTTGAAATATTTTGGCTCATCTTAAGGGAGGAAGCTAAAAGTATGAAACTTACAAGTAGAACTTTCGACACTTCCATGGCTTGTTTAGATTCTTCAGTTTCATTAGCTCTGTCGTATTCACCGAGAATCACTTCAAGGAAGAATGCTCTGTAAGATATGATTTACCAGTATTTAATGTTTTAGTACCAGACGTTTTGAATGATTTTAAATTTCTAGCACTACTATAATATGAATGATTTTAAATTTCTAGCACTGTAAATTATGAATGATCTGATATTTTAGCACTGTAAAATATGAATGATTTGATATTTCTGGCACTGTAAAATATGAATGATTTGATATTTCTGGCACTGTAAAATATGAATGATTTGATATTTCTGGCACTGTAAAATATGAATTATTTGATATTTCTAGCATTAAAAATATGAAGGATCTGATATTTCTAGCACTTTAAAATATGAATTATTTGATATTTCTGGCACTGTAAAATATGAATGATTTGATATTTCTAGCACTATAAAATATAAATGATTTGATATTTCTAGGACTGTAAAATATGAAGGATTTGATGTTACTGGCACTGTAAAACATGAATGATTAATTTAATATTACTTGCACTGTAAAATATGAATAATTTGCATATTTCTAGAGCTGTAAAATATTAATGAATTGATATTACTTGCACTGTAAAATATGAATAATTTGCATATTTCTAGCACTGTAAAAAATGAAGGATCTGATATTTCTTGCACTGTAAAATATGAATGATTTTACATTTATGGCACCATAAGCTATTTTTCTATGAATTATTACAAACATGTATTTCTAGCATTGTAAAATTTGAATAATTTTATATATTTAGCTCTGTAAACTTTGACAAATGTTATATTTCTAGTACTGTAAAACTGCAAATGTAACTAGAACTATCACTAAATGTGATTAATACCCCCACAAGACTGCTTCGGAAATGAGGATGTTACTAGTAACAGAATACCTTGTAAAAGAATTGAAATATAGAGTTATGGTTGTGGGCAATTAAAGATAGTTGTGGTTCTTATATGTTGCATTTCCTTTCAATGTGGTTGGCCATTGATGAAGTTTAATTGAATTACTCTGTAATTAGTCCAGAAAGACAAAGGAAAGGATCAAAGGGCAATAACTCTATAAAAACTGAAGATAGAGTTATAGTTCTTGTGCACTGCACTTCCTCTTATTGTGCTTGACCATTGTATGAAGTTGTTTTGAATTCCAACCTGTATGTTTTAAGTTATGCTCCTGACAAGGAAAAGTATCAAAGGGCAGTAACTCTGTATTTTGTCAAAATGGAGTTATGGCTCATGTGCACTGCACTTCCTTTTAATGTCCTTGACAACTGTATGAAGTTGTATTGAATTCCAAACAGTAGTTTTCAAGTTATGCTCTGGACAAGGAAAAGTAACAAAGGGCAATAACTCTGTAATTAGTCAAGATGGAGTTATGGTTCTTGTGCACTGCACTTTCTCTCAATGTGCTTGACCATTGTATGAAGTTATATTGAATTCCAACCATTAGTCTTCAAGTTATGGTCCGGACAAAAAAGGCAATGGAAAAGTAACAAAAGGCAATAGCTCTGTAATTACTTTAGATAGAGTTATGGTTCTTGTGCACTGCACTTCCCCTTATTGTGTTTGACAATTGTATGAAGTTGTTTTGAATTCCAACCAGTAGTTTTCAAGTTATGCCCGGGACAAAGGAAAAGTAACAAAGGGCAATAACTCTGTAATTAGTCAAGATAGAGTTATGGTTCTTATGCACTGCACTTCCTCTCAATGTGCTTGACCATTGTATGTAGTTATATTGAATTCCAATCATTAGTCTTCAAGTTATGGTCCGGACAAAAAAATCAATGGAAAAGTAACAAAGGGCAATAACTCTGTAATTACTTTAGATAGAGTTATGGTTCTTGTGCACTGCACTTCCCCTTATTGTGTTTAACAATTGTATGAAGTTGTTTTGAATTCCAACCAGTAGTTTTCAAGTTATGCCCCGGACAAGGAAAAGTAACAAAGGGCAATAACTCTGTAACTCTATAACTCCGACCGAACGACCACCGGGTGACTCCTATATACCCCCCCAAACTTTGTTTTTGGGGGTATAAAAAGCATAAACTGTTTTATATTCCTTTTTTGGGCCCCCCAAAATAAGAATGATCCCTTTTTATTCTTCCTGTCCAAATATTTGGAATTTATAAACCTTACAAAACCACTTTTGCATAATTAAACATTTACACATTGACAAATCATTATACGTGTAGAGTGATATCTTAGAGTGAATGTTGATCTTTAAGCATGAAAACGTAAATGTTAGTCTTTGAGGAAGAACACAGTAACATTGAGCATGAAGACACGATTGTTAGTTTTTGAGCATTAAAATGTAAATATTTGATTTTGAGCATGAAAACGCTGTTAGATATATGTATTCATCATAAATATTACATTAGCAAAAAAATAGTTGAAGTACTTTGTTTGAATGTTTGAGACAAAACATGATTGTACAAACATTATATTTAGTGTGAGCATTGTGAAAAAAAAATGTTAAAATTTCATCAACCTTTTATCAATGTAATGGTAACCACATGTAAGAACGACCCGGGATTGTAGAAGTATACCGGATCCAATCAGCTCTTTCGACCACTTGTCAACGATATTCACAAAATATGGAAATTCCCCGGGCTCTGTTTCAAGAGTTCCAGGACCCTTTATTCGATCAGCGACCCGTCCGCTACTTACAACACCTATGAAACCTGTAAAATGAAAGTTAAGTTTTGACGAATAAAATTAAGGACTTTGTACTTTTTAATCCAGAAATGTAGGCCTGTTTAAAAAATATTCACCCTGCCTCCTCAGCAAAGAAAGTCTAAATAGGCATTAGCTCTAAACAGATGTAATAAAATTTACATGCAATTTCTTAGAATTACCAATCCTCTATATTTCTTGGGCTGCAAATAATAAAATAATAAGAACCACTAACATTACACATTACTTTTCAAAACATTATTTCAAAAGATATGTTGTAGTTGGCATACTTTGAATTTGGGACAGTCCATTCAGAGTTGAAGGGTTTTCAATAATAAGATATTAGAATATAGCTATGAACATAATAGAACAGGGATAAGCAGCCTGGCCTGACTGTATACTGATGGCAAAGGCTAATCACTTCCGGTTCCAGCAGGTTAAGGCTTAATTATTAGTATACATGTACATGTATAATGAGATAAAAGATTAAATTAAAATAATTGAAATTTTCAAAAGATTGTGATATAAAAGCTTACAGGCAGTTATTTTCTATATATCAAATAAGTGTAATAAGTTTTGACAAAGTTTATGCAGAGCTAAAGTTGTCTACTTCTTAACTTAGAGATCAAACCCAATAGTGGTCACAGCCATTTTTCTTCACTTAATAGTTCTGGTAAAAAGATTCAAGAGGGCTTGAAATGAGCTTCATGTTTTCATCATAATCAGCCTTGAACTTAAAACAAGTGTAAAACAAACCTGAGAGAAGCAAAATCGGGAAAATGTAATCCATATTTGTAAAAAAGTACACTTCAAAAGTAAAAGTACACTTCAAAAGTAAAAGTACACTTCAAAGGTAAGCTACATGTGTATATGACCCGCATACAATTACATGTCTATATACATTTGATATTATTTAAATAAAATAATAGAAAGTACAAAACTTACATTAAAACATTAAATTGCCCAAGGAGATATACGATAGTGTTTTTCTATATAATTATAATTACATATATAACCATTTCAAAACAAGATTACATCAGAATCAGTTTTATGCTTTATATTAAGTACCGATTTTATTAGCATCATTGTTATTTTTTTAATGCTTTTTTTCCCTTTCTTGTTATTCATTATTATAATCAATTATCATCCCCATAAAATGGACGCCTACAATTATTATCAATTGGTGTATTAACAACTAATTATCATCATGACCTATAAATGACCATGACAAATTGTTATGGTTAAAAAAATACTTTACATTTAAAACCTGGCCTCGTCTGTATTTTCATTGGTTGATGCACGTTCTGTGCCGGTTTCTGACCAATTAAATACCTTACATCTGAGTAAATGTCCTTAAAACCTTGGACCCTGAACTCACAAAGTCAAGGTTATAATTGAGCCGTGTCACGACAAAACCAACATAATGGCTTTGCGACCAGCATGGATCCAGACCAGCCTGCGCATCCGTGCAGTCTGATCAGGATCCATGCTGTTCGCTATCAGTTTCTCTACTTGTTATAGAGTTTGTAAGGGAACAGCATGGATCCTGATCAGACTGCGCGGATGCGCAGGCTGGTCTGGATCCATGCTGGTCGCAAAGCCATTATGTTGGTTTTGTCGTGACACGGCTCATATAATGTATTTCAGAACTATAATATTATTTCAAGCATGTATACAATATATGATATCATAAACAAAACAGAACACAATTCCTCTCACTTTTTTTATTCAAGAAATAATCACAGTCACTTCTCATAAAACAATCACAGTTATAAATATAATCTGTAAGTTATGCTTTCTTCATACATCATGCATACATGTATATATATACCAAGTGATCAACTAAAAATATGAAGAGGTATAAGAAAATATATCACATAAGATAAATGGAGTCCATTTCTTAAACGTCAGTTTAACTCTATAAATTTAACTCTTTAAACGCTAAAGATGACAACAATAGCTATTGACGGTAACAATAGCTTTAGATTATAACAATAGCTAAAGATGGTAACAATAGCTAAAGATGATAACAATAGCTAAAGATGATAACAATAGCTAAAGATGATAACAATAGCTAAAGATGATAACAATAGCTAAAGATGGTAACAATAGCTAAAGATGATAACAATAGCTAAAGATGATAACAATAGGTAAAGATGATAACAATAGGTAAAGATGGTAACAATAGCTAAAGGAGATAACAATAGCTAAAGGAGATAACAATAGCTAAATATGATAACAATAGCTTTAGATGGCAAAATAGCTAAAGATGGTAACAATAGCTAAAGACGATAACAATAGACCTTGGCCACCAGTATAAAGCTAGATCAGTAGCATTTCCCAGACTTACTAGCCAGGCTCTTCTATTAGGACATACATTTTATTTTAATACCAAAATTCCTCATATTAACAATGAACTTATCCAAATTCAAAGCTGGACAATTCCATTCTACAAATATAATTGGACATGGGCTAAAAAACGAATGTAAATTACAACAATGTTTCATTATACCCTTGACAATAATCGAGGTACTTTTGATGATAAATTGGGAAGACAATTTACATGTGTAACAAAACAACAAACCTGGTACATATATATAGAAACACCTATATGATACTTAATGTATTTTCAGAGAAAATAATGATTTATTCAAATTTTGCTTAACAGTAAGTAACAAGAAGTTTCCAGGGACAGTACAATCAATTTTTACCATAGCATGATGATGTATGAACTTTTCAAAAAGGGGAATTACTAAGTAAAAATCTATGTTAGAGCTATGAGTCTTGATAAGTGACTTGGTATCCCTTGGCTGTAGACATTTTAAAAGTTTCAAATGGATATCTTCATCTTTTATGAAAATACAATTTGTGTGCATAACTTAAATTGCCTTAAATATAAAATTATTCACTCCTTTTTTCATGCAGGCTTGAGTTATGGGAATTGTTTTAAGGTTTGATCATTGGAAAGCATATATGAAATTTGAATGACCATGAGAGATATAGCCTTGACAGAACTTTGCATGCTAAATTTTAACTAAATATTAATATGGAAGCCAAGTGAAAACTAGAAATGTGTCCATAGGACACGGATGCCCCAACACGCCACTGTTCTGTCAATCTTTTTTGGACTACATGTGCCACAAGTTGAAAACTAAAAATCAACAAAGGGCCATAATTCTGTTAAATTTGGTCGCAGCAAAAATTCCTTCCTTTACTACCATCTACACATTAAGGTTGTTCATCCCTGGAAGTTTAAGCAAAAGCTGCCATCCGGTTTAAGAGGAGTTGCGTTCACAAAATTTCTACATAGTATATAGTGAAAAAATCAACAAAGGGCCATAATTCTGTTAAATTTGGTCGCAGCAAAAATTCCTTCCTTTACTACCATTTACACATTAAGGTTGTTCATCCCTGGAAGTTTAAGCAAAATCTGCCATCCGGTTTAAGAGGAGTTGCGTTCACAAAATTTCTACATAGTATATAGTGAAAAAATCAACAAAGGGCCATAATTCTCTTAAATTTGGTCGCAGCAAAAATTCCTTCCTTTACTACCATCTACACATTAAGGTTGTTCATCCCTGGAAGTTTAAGCAAAATCTGCCATCCATTTTAAGAGGAGTTGCGTTCACAAAATTTCTACATAGTATATAGTGAAAAAATCAACAAAGGGCCATAATTCTCTTAAATTTGGTCGCAGCAAAAATTCCTTCCTTTACTACCATCTACACATTAAGGTTGTTCATCCCTGGAAGTTTAAGCAAAATCTGCCATCCGGTTTAAGAGGAGTTGCGTTCACAAAATTTCTACATAGTATATAGTGAAAAAATCAACAAAGGGCCATAATTCTCTTAAATTTGGTCGCAGCAAAAATTCCTTCCTTTACTACCATCTACACATTAAGGTTGTTCATCCCTGGAAGTTTAAGCAAAATCTGCCATCCGGTTTAAGAGGAGTTGCGTTCACAAAATTTCTACGTAGTATATAGTGAAAAAATCAACAAAGGGCCATAATTCTCTTAAATTTGGTCGCAGCAAAAATTCCTTCCTTTACTACCATCTACACATTAAGGTTGTTCATCCCTGGAAGTTTAAGCAAAATCTGCCATCCGGTTTAAGAGGAGTTGCGTTCACAAAATTTCTACATAGTATATAGTGAAAAAATCAACAAAGGGCCATAATTCTCTTAAATTTGGTCGCAGCAAAAATTCCTTCCTTTACTACCATCTACACATTAAGGTTGTTCATCCCTGGAAGTTTAAGCAAAATCTGCCATCCGGTTTAAGAGAAGTTGCGTTCACAAAATTTCTACATAGTATATAGTGAAAAAATCAACAAAGGGCCATAATTCTGTTAAATTTGGTCGCAGCAAAAATTCCTTCCTTTACTACCATCTACACATTAAGGTTGTTCATCCCTGGAAGTTTAAGCAAAATCTGCCATCCGGTTTAAGAGGAGTTGCGTTCACAAAATTTCTACATAGTATATAGTGAAAAAATCAACAAAGGGCCATAATTTCTCTTAAATTTGGTCGCAGCAAAAATTCCTTCCTTTACTACCATCTACACATTAAGGTTGTTCATCCCTGGAAGTTTAAGCAAAATCTGCCATCCTGTTTAAGAGGAGTTGAGTTCACAAAATTTCTACATAGTATATAGTGAAAAAATCAACAAAGGGCCATAATTCTCTTAAATTTGGTCGCAGCAAAAATTCCTTTTATTACTACCATCTACACATTAAGGTTGTTCATCCCTGGAAGTTTAAGCAAAATCTGCCATCCGGTTTAAGAGGAGGTGCGTTCACAAAATTTCTACAAAGTATATAGTGAAAAAATCAACAAAGGGCCATAATTCTGTTAAATTTGGTCGCAGCAAAAATTCCTTCCTTTACTACTATCTACACATTAAGGTTGTTCATCCCTGGAAGTTTAAGCAAAAGCTGCCATCCGGTTTAAGAGGAGTTGCGTTCACAAAATTTCTACATAGTATATAGTGAAAAAATCAACAAAGGGCCATAATTCTCTTAAATTTGGTCGCAGCAAAAATTCCTTTCTTTACTACCATCTACACATTAAGGTTGTTCATCCCTGGAAGTTTAAGCAAAATCTGCCATCCGGTTTAAGAGGAGTTGCGTTCACAAAATTTCTACATAGTACAGTCGACATTGTATTAAGAGACCACTCAAGGGACTGCCAAAAAGTGGTCTCTTAATAAAGTGGTCTCTCAATAGAATTCTGGAAAATTCGATACTTTTTTATTTTACAAGTCATAGATATAATAGCATCTTTTTATAAAAACAAAAACTATACAATATTATATATGTATTACAGTTTCATAATTACATTTATGCCTTTCATTTAAAAAAGTCATCAATATGTGTTTGTTTTTTTAGTAGAAATTTGTGTACAAATGTGATCTACGCTCATAATACTATCAACAGGTCATTTTGACCTTGAAACAAAGCATGTTGTCATATATTGTTAATATGTTCATACACATCTGCTGAACATACTTTCAAATCATCAGCCAGAGCTCAAGATAATTTTTCATGGAATGAGTTTTAAACTTCTTGATTTTTTCAGCAATTTATCAAAACATTTAGGTTTTAGAGATCTTAGTTTTTTTTTGTCGAAGGGTCATATTTAATGGGGTACTACATGTATTTTATAAAGCATCAGATCGATGAGCACCTACACCTTCAGCAATCTCGGTTCTGTAATGTTTAGTCCACTATACGTTTCACGATTTTATTTCGACTACAAACGATGACATTTGCTATTTACTCAGATTCAATTCGATTCACGATTTCCTCATTCAATTTATCCTGTATTATTAGTTGTCTGTCATTTTTTCGCTCGTTCCGACGTCATTCTCGATTTGATTTTCTGGAAGGGAGGTCACTCTGAGCACATGACAAAACTGTACCAATGCCGTGTTGTGATACGTTATTGCTCTGACAAAATATGTCACCATAAATATTACGATCGGAAAACTGTTTTTGAAACGATTGCAATTGTTATTCAATTCGTTTTTAAACGGCAATTACTTGTGACGGTCTAATTGACGGCCGTTTAATAGATACTTTAAGACCAATGACCATGAAAAATATTTGTTTGTTTGCTTGTACACATCAAACCTTCACGCTAATTACACCGGTGAGAATGCCCGTAGGGACGATTGTTTGTCACGGCCGTTTAATAGGTTCTTTAACACTGAATTTTGTACATTTGGACCGACATTTACTGGCCGCTGGCCGCGATATAAAATCGTCGTTTAATGGAACTAACTTATATAGTAAAAATCATCGGGAGGGATTTTATGCGGCCGCTTAATAAAAAAGTCGCTAAATAAAGGTGGACGCAAGTACGATGCCGACTGTATATAGTGAAAAAATCAACAAAGGGCCATAATTCTCTTAAATTTGGTCGCAGCAAAAATTCCTTCCTTTACTACCATCTACACATTAAGGTTGTTCATCCCTGGAAGTTTAAGCAAAATCTGCCATCCGGTTTAAGAGGAGTTGCGTTCACAAATTTCTACATAGTATATAGTGAAAAAACCAACAAAGGGCCATAATTCTGTTAAATTTAGTCGCAGCAAAAATTCCTTCCTTTACTACCATCTACACATTAAGGTTGTTCATTCCTGGAAGTTTAAGCAAAATCTGCCATCTGGTTTAAGAGGAGTTGCGTTCACAAGATTTCGGGACGTACGGACAGACGGTCGGACAGACGTACGGACACTCGGACGGACAAGTGCAACGCTATATGCTCCCACTCTGTGGGGGCATAAAAAAATGTATCATATTGTATGTTAGTCAACAAAACAAAAATATAAGATCAACAGATGTTTAAAACAATGTGTTATAATAACAATGAGTTAAACAATGTATTCACAACTGCACAGCAGCATGAATATGATTTTAAATGTTAAACATAATTTCAAAATCTATATGAGATATTTATAATGCCATGAAATCTGAATCTATGCATCCATCCAACTGTTTTTTGTTGTTGTTTTTTAAATAATGTAATTCAAGCCATTTAGAGTTTCTTATTTGTAGATTGTAATACGAAAAGTTTCAAGTAACTGATCTGTACTTGAATCATTTTGATGTTTGGCTGACAAAAAACAACACACATATAAACTATATGTTGTTTATCAGAGGCAGCATCGTTTTTTTTCTTCTTTGATTAATGAAGAACAACGGTGGACTCCTTTTAAATCATTGGCTGATAAAGAAGGCCGGAATTGTACAAACTGCATGGGTTTTTTTTCCTGTAGAATTCTATAGTTGATTGTTGCCCAGATGCAGAATTTTTTTAAGAAGTTTTCCACTCAAACCTGTCAACATTTGGCACTTTCTGGAGTTGGCACAAAGAAATACATACATAACAGGATCACATATATTGACACCAATGCTGAACCTGAAATATATAAGACAAAAATAACTATAGTGTCTGCTCATTTAAATGTTTCTAACGCAAACACACATAATATATATTAAAGTGATTTGCTTGTTTTTTATTTTGAATGAAAACCTCTCATCATAAGAGAAATTTTCAAAATATGGACTGAATGAATAGTTAATCTGGGGAACAAATGTCTGATCTTGGTCTGTACTGGTCACATGGGTTAATTCAATTGCCACCTTTGTTCAGTTAGTAAGGGCTTTAATGTCTACCTAGATCTAATAAAATGTTAATCTCAAACCAGATACAAGAAAATTAATTTCAGTATTGTATTTGAATCACGTGATTATTCATTTTTGCCAATTTTTTTCATCAACAAATTTTTGTGTTGTGTTTTTTGCCAAAAGACAATAAAATAAAAAGCATTAATACTTGACAAGTATTGTTGTTTATTTCTGAAACCTTTCCTTTTTTTAAGTCTTATCTATTGAAGTACTTCAGTTATACCTCAGATTAAGTTTCTTCTTATTTCGTTGGGTTTTAAATCATGTAACATGACATTTTGTCACATGCTAGCATGGCATTTTGTCAAACTTCAAAAGCAAGAGGAAGTCCTTGGATGCCCCTTTCTGCATAATTTACTAAATGGGCTACTAAGCAGACCCATATCCCTTCAGTAAGCTTGCTAAAATGAGGATTTGGTATTAAATATCAACCTGAGTTATAGTTTAAAGATCATACCTTGGAAGTAATCACTTTTCCCATCTTGGAAGATATAGTTGATAACAATCACAGAGAAAATCACAGCCCATAGATGAACATCATTAAATACGAGGACGAAATTCATTGGCTGAAATATACAACATATACATTTACATTAAATCAATATTTATTGTAAATTTATATCATTGTAACCTTACCATAGCAACCATTATACATATTAAACATATTTACCATAGCAACCATTATTTATATTTAAGGTATGAACCATAGCCATCATTATTCATATTAAACATATATACCATAGCAACCATTATACATATTAAACATATTTACCATAGCAACCATTATTTATATTAAACATATATACCATAGCAACCATTATTTATATTAAACGTATATACCATAGCGACCATAATTCATATTAAATGTATTTACCATAGCAACCATTATTTATATTAAACGTATATACCATAGCGACCATTATTCATATTAAATGTATTTTTCATAGCAACCATTATTCATATTAAAAGTATTTACCATAGCAACCATTATTCATATTAAAGGCATTTACCATAGCAACCATTATTCATATTAAAGGTATTTACCATAGCAACCATTATCCATATTAAAGGTATTTACCATAGCAACCATTATTCATATTAAAGGTATTTACCATAGCAAGCATTATTTACATTAAAGGTATTTTACTTTAGCAACCATTATTCTTATTAAAGATAATCTTTTTTTAAACACTTTGACTAAGAAACTATTTCAAGTCAGCATGGATCTAAGTAATAAAAGGACTGACATAGTACACACAGCACAATTAATTACCTTGTCCTCACCTTCTAATCGTTGTATTTTGAGTAATTTGAAAAAAACATGTCTAAGTTAAAAGAACATAAATTACATAAGGGAGCAGAAATACATATTGTCTAACAAAGTACTTGTCTAACAAATTACTTTACTGCTAAATTAGTAGATTTGGAGATAATTTTGCATAAACATAATCAATTTCATCTGAAACTGACAAACATTATTCTTTCAATTTAACTCCCTTTGGCATTGCTGATTAGATACATCCCAATATAGTTTTATACACTTAAAGAAAAATCAGAAAACTTACATATATTAGGTTGATGAGAATCAAAGCTGGAACTTGAATCAAGCACACCTGAATTGCTGTATTTGTTCCTATTTCAATTCTGAAAAATCCATTTATATTATTAACATTTCTTTTTTAAAAACTACTAAAGATGATAATAACATTACATAAATGTTATACTTTCATATTGTAAATTAGAAAAAAAAAAAAAAAAAAAAAAAAAAAACAAGAGCACCGCTAGGCGGAGCATTATATGCCCGAAAGTGTTTTTTTATATATTAAGGATGAAGCATTTGTAAGACATTACATAAATTAAATAAAGTATTACCTCCTTCCAATAGCAATCCTCCTATAAAGTTTGAATATTGTGGGCCAAATAGAAATTAAGTTATGCTCCGGAAACTGTTTTCAGTTTTAAAGTAATAATGACCTTGACCTTTGACCTTGTGACCCCAAAATCAATAGGGGAATTCTACCCAATATGGACAATCATCCTATGAAGTTTGAATCTTGTGGGCCAAATAGATATTAAATTATGCTCCAGAAACTGTTTTCAGTTTTAAAGTAATAATGACCTTGACCTTTGACCTTGTGACCCAAAAGTCAATAGGGGTCTCCTACCCAATATGGACATTCATCCTGTGAAGTTTGAACACTGTGGGTCACATGGTACTTAAATTATGCTCCGGAAACTGTTTTCAGTTTGGAGGTTATAGTGACCTTGACCTTTGACCTTGTGACCCCAAAATCAATAGGGGTCTTCTACCCAATATGGACAATCATCCTATGAAGTTTGAACACTGTGGGCCAAATGGAACTTAAATTATGCTCCGGAAACTGTTTTCAGTTTTAAGGTGATAGTGACCTTGACCTTTGACCTTGTGACCCCAAAATCAATAGGGGTCTTCTACCCAATATGGACAATCATCCTATGAAGTTTTAATGTTGTGGGCCAAATGAAACTTAAGTTATGCTCCGGAAACTGTTTTCAGTTTTAAGGTGATAGTGACCTTGACCTTTGACCTTGTGACCCCAAAATCAATAGGGGTCTTCTACCCAATATGGGCAATCATCCTATGAAGTTTGAATGTTGTGGGCCAAATGGAACTTAAGTTATGCTCCGGAAACCAAATTGCTAACGGACGGACGGACAGACGGACGGATAGACAGACGGACGGACGGACGGACGCCAGGGGGTATAACATAATATGCCCGAAATTCTTTCGGGCATATAAAAAAAACGGAATACCCCACAGTCAGGCTAAGCGTTACAGGAGAATTATATCCGACGACGACGTGTTCTCTACTTCACTGAGCAAACTACGAGAATTCTTCATAAGTAGAAATTTCCCTGAGACGGTTATAGATTCAGCGTTTCTTCACGTGTCACAGATGTCACAAGAGGATGCCTTACGGCCACAAGATAAAGAAAAGAAAAACGTTCTTCCATTTATTGTGACATATAATCCGTCCTTACCTAATATTGGAAATACTATTCATAAATATTGGGACCTACTAAATCTGTCAAAAAACGAAGGTGTTAAAAATATTCACAATAACTACACACCCATAATTGCCTATAAACGTCCAAGAAACTTACAAGACTTTTTATTTAGATCTAGATTTGATACTGATAGTGACTTTACATCACATTCTGGAGGTTGTTGTAGAAAACGCTGTTCTCATTGTGTTCGTATTAATAGTGGTACGTCATTTTACAGTTCAAATACAGGAGAGATATTTGACTTACGTCAACATACTAACTGTCAAACCAAGAATTGTATATATTTGATAACATGTAATAAATGTAGCATGCAGTATGTTGGTCAAACCAAACAACCTGTGTCTAAACGAATGAATAGCCATAAATTTGATATATGCAATTTTGTAGATCCTGCATTCTCCACTAATGTTGCAAATCATTTTAATAAGGACGATCATAATTTTACCGACTTTTCATTTATGCCCATAGATGTTGTTTACAATACTTTAGATCGTTTGTGCAAAGAAACATTTTGGATTCATAAGCTAAAAACTCATTTTCCAGAAGGAATGAACACAAAGTTGTTATACTCAATTAAATAATTCATAAAATATCAATCCACGCTACAAATGCTAGAATTACGCCACATAGATATTCGTTTTTTCCTATTATCATTTTTTATAATTAAACCCTATAGGAAATATTCGTATTTATTAATCTGATATCTATTGTGTCGTTTTTATATTTTTATATTTTGATGCTTTGTTTGGTGCACTTATCTCTTTTATCATGAATTGGAATTGTTCGTATTTGTTCGTTTTTCCGCTAAAGTGGGCGTGACGTTAATTGTAAAATTACGACGTCACGTCCGTTGATATTATTATTATTTATTTACCTTGAAAAAGGCATACATTTGCCGAAACGTTGGAAAAATAAAAAATGATATTATACGTGTTATTGCTGTGACTTTATTATTTTAATATTGTAAATTAGAACATATTCACTCATCCTGAATTCATTTGATCAGAAAAAAAGTGATATAGTTCCTTCCTATCAGTAAGTGAAACTGCTTGTTTTTTTTGTTTGGTTTTTTGGTGCACCAACACAATTTAGGTCATATGGCGCCAAAACAGGAAAGACAAAATGGCTAACATGGGGTGTTACAAACTTCAAGCAACACTAGAGGGTCAAAACCACCTCACCTGCTTGAGCTAAGAGATGCAAAGGCTCCAGTAAGTCGAACCAATTTAGACGCCTCTTACGATGAGGCAGGGATAAACAGTAGCTGCAATTCTGATGCCTCAACCCTTAAAGGCAACCCCTCAGCCACAAAAGGGGTGAAAACTGTGCATTTCAACATTGCTTATATTTTATGATATACATGTACTAATTATTTTTTTAGTTGGGTTTAATATCGCACCAACACAGTAAAGTTCATATGGAGATTTTCGATCTTTAATGATTGAGGAAAACCTCAGGTGCCCCCGTGTGCATTATTTCAGGCACAAATGGGCACCTGAGTAGAACCACTGCCTGTAAGCTAGCTGGATAGCTATTTTGAAATGAAAGCTGTTAACTTACTCTAAATTAACATATTTATTTTGTAAGGAAAACTGTAAACTCACCCTAAATTTACATTATTTAGTAACGAAAATTGTCAACTTACCCTAAATTTTCATTTAATTTTGTTAACAAAAACTGTCAAATCACCCTTACTTTACAAATTAATTTTGTTAACAGAAACTGTCAACTTACCCAATATTTACATTATTTTGAAATGAAAACTGTCAAGTTGTCAACTCACCCTAAATTTACATTATTTTGTAACGAAAACTGTCAACTCACCCTAAATTTACATTATTTTGTAATGAAAACTGTCACCTTACCCTAAATTTAAATTATTTTGTAAGGAAAACTGTCAACTCACCCTAAATTAACATTATTTTGTAACGAAAACTGTCAACTCACCCTAAATTTACATTATTTTGTAATGAAAACTGTCACCTTACCCTAAATTTACATTATTTTGTAATGAAAACTGTCACCTTACCCTAAATTTACATTATTTTGTAATGTCACCTTACCCTAAATTTACATTATTTTGTAATGAAAACTGTATTCCGTTGATAATTTCTGGTAATTCAGGAATCATTGCAATCATTGTCACACCAATAAAATACTGAAAGAATATAATTAAAAACATTAATATTTGACAGTAAATATCTGAAAAAAATATTTCTATATAGTTATTTTATAATGATAAAAAGCAACAATAACTAACCACATCTCTTTGCAATAGTTTGTGTTTAAAAGTCTGAATGGAAGCTAAAAAATTTACAAGCTCAGGATTCTGATACAACAAAAATAACCACAATGGAAATAAGAGTATCTTTTTTTTCATGCTATCCCTGGTGCTGGTGTGATGTCATGGCTTATTTATTCCCATGTATGTTAAATATTTGTACAGTACATAATGTTTTAAATGTCCATGTATATGAATTCTATACTGAAATAAATCTATCTATCTTTACATTTATATTATGATAAAAACAAAGCAAATATTAATAAAGAAATATACCTCTGACACACCGGAAGTTTCAAGAAGATCTTGTATATTTTCTGCTATAAGATCAGCACAGAGAGCTATCAATGTGGCACAACACAACAATATAAAACAACTCTTTATCCTTGACCACTGGGCAGCACCTTCATCTAATAACATACAAACAGGATAATATAACACTAGTTTATCCTTGACCACTTGGCAACCCCTTTGTCTGATAACATAAAACAAAATTTCTTACATATCTTAACATTTATAATATATTCTGATTAAAAAAATCAGTTAAAAGAGGGTCAAATCAGTGAAGTAACAGCTTAAGAAAGCAGTTAAACTTGTGGATAATGGAGGACAACAGAAACCACCTGAGGATGAATGTCATGCAATCACAAATGCAAACCTTTGTGTTAAAAAGGTACCCTTTAATTATGTTTTTGTACATCTAAATTTTAAAACCAACGGTTGAATTATGGATCAGGTTTGCAATCTAAGTTTCATATTCTGCTTTCAAATCATACATAATACATATCACAGCAAAATAAGTAATATAAATGTGTAAGACATGATTATTAATAATAATACTCACGCCCATGGCCGCCATCTTTGGCTACCTCATCATAAAATTCGTCATAAACATACGATGTATGAGTTCTCAATGTAAACACTACACCAATGATGTATGATATAGGTAGAAGTATGGCTATAGCATAAACCAGTGGTTGAATATGCTTGTCATATAGTGATTTGTCACCATCCAACCCAATCTGTTAACAAATACAAAATAAAAATTGTTTCAAGGTAAAGTTTGTTTGTGTGTTTGACTATTACATTGAATTTAATACATTTTTGGCATTCTCTCGGAAATTTGTTCAAGTAATCGTCTTTCCATGGTAATACTTCATGAATACTAAATGTATATATATCATAGAAGTACAATTACAATGATACTAACTTTTTGCTCTCCTATATGGTAATTTTGCTGGTGGCGCGGGTAAACAGACCCAAACAAACACACCAAACTTAACAGTAATGTTCTAAATCTCTTAATGGACTTGCTCTGCTTTGAATTTGAAACTGTCCATTATAATATAAAGGGGTTTCAATATTGAAAATCACAAAAATATGCAGTGAGAAGCAAACCAGCAGTATATATACTGTCTGGTCACGACTACATGGCTGTGCAGGAGCACCATGCACACACTATACTGATGGTATATACATGTCTTTATACATGTATCCACTAGCTATTCAAACAGTTAATTTTCATGCGATCATTAATAATTAATGTTGAAGTTGAATGAAAGTCCAGATTTTTCCCCTATATCTTCCTTATAAAAACCTATGTATGAGTCGAAATTTTATGTGTCGAATTTTTCGATGTGTCAAAGTGTACTTCATATTACATTTATATTACTGTTATGTCACACCCTATTCGATAACATAGAAATTATACATTCCATGAAAAACTAGAAATGTGTCCATAGGACACGGATGCCCCCACACGCAACTGTTCTGTCAATCTTATGACTCTAGGTCAAATATTTTTTGGACTACATGTGCCACAAGTTGAAAACTAAAAATCAACAAAGGGCCATAATTCTGTTAAATTTGGTCGCAGCAAAAATTCCTTCCTTTCCAACCATCTACACATTAAGGTTGTTAATCCCTGGAAGTTAAAGCAAAATCTGCCATCGGGTTTAAGTGTAGTTGCGTTCACAAAATTTCTACATAGTATATAATGAAAAAATCAAAAAAGGGCCATAATTCTGTTAAATTTGGTTGCAGCAAAAATTCCTTTCTTTACTACCATCTACACATTAAGGTTGTTCATCCCTGGAAGTTTAAGCAAAATCTGCCATACGTTTTAAGAGGAGCTGCATTCACAAAATTTCTACATAGTATATAGTGAAAAAAATCAACAAAGGGCCATAATTCGGTAAAATTTGGTCGAAGGGAAAATTCCTTCCTTTACTACCATCTACACCTGAAGGTTGTTCATCCCTGTTAGTTTAAGCAAAATCTGCCATCCAGTTTAAGAGGAGTTGCGTTCACAAAATTTCTACATAGTATATAGTGAAAAAATCAACAAAGGGCCATAATTCTGTTAAAATTGATCGCAGCAAAAATTCCTTCCTTTACTACCTTCTACACCTGAAGGTTGTTCATCCCTGTAAGTTTAAGCAAAATCTGCCATCCGGTTTAAGAGGAGTTGCGTTCACAAAATTTCTACATAGTATCTCGTGAAAAATCAACAAAGGGCCATAATTCTGTTAAATTTGGTCGCAGCGAAAATTCCTTCCTTTACTACCATCTACACATTAAGGTTGTTCATCCCTGTAAGTTTAAGCAAAATCTGCCATCCGGTTTAAGAGGAGTTGCGTTCACAAGATTTCGGGACGTACGGACGGACGGACGGACAAGTGCAACGCTATATGCTCCCACATTGTGGGGGCATAAAAATTCAAATTTCAAAAGCAATGAAAAATGCCTAAAACTTGATTTCTAATTTTTTAGTTTTTTTCAGCCATTAAAGAAGATATAATTTACCACAGACTGTGTACATCCAGTACACTGCAAGCCTGATGTATGGTTCTGTACTGCCACCACTGTACTGTTGATCTCACATCTCTGACACTGTAAATCCCCAAATATCTTTGAAAACAATGTTGGAGCAAAAACACCTGCAAGAAATGTGCATTACAATTTATCAAATGCAAACAAAATGCTACAAATTGCTGTTATATATTAACTTAATTTAGAAAGTTATTGTTATTTTTGATATTTTGACACTGATATGAAATATTACCTAATTGATGTGTAAAGAAAGCAAGCATTTTTTACCAAAAGTCCCATTTTGAGAATTAAGTAAAGGACACCTAACAACCAAATAACTATACACTAAATATAAATTTTGTAACCAAACTAGAAATGTGTCCATAGGACACGGATGCCCCCACACGCCACTGTTCTGTCAATCTTATGACTCTAGGTCAAATATTTTTTGGACTACATGTGCCACAAGTTGTGCCACAAGTTGAAAACTAAAAATCAACAAAGGGCCATAATTCTGTTAAATTTGGTCGCAGCAAAAATTCCTTCCTTTACTACCATCTACACATTAAGGTTGTAATCCCTGGAACTTTAAGCAAAATCTGCCATCCGGTTTAAGAGGAGTTGCGTTCACAAAATTTCTACATAGTATATAGTGAAAAATCAACAAAGGGCCATAATTCTGTAAAATTTGCTCGCAGCAAAAATTCCTTCCTTTACTACCATCTACACCTTAAGGTTGTTCATCCCTGTAAGTTTAAGCAAAATCTGCCATCCAGTTTAAGAGGAGTTGCGTTCACAATATGTCTACATAGTATATAGTGAAAAAATCAACAAAGGGCCATAATTCTGTTAAATTTGGTCGCAGCAAAAATTCCTTCCTTTACTACCATCTACACATTAAGGTTGTTCATCCCTGTAAGTTTAAGCAAAATCTGCCATCCGGTTTAAGAGGAGTTGCGTTCACAAGATTTCGGGACGTACGGACGGACTGACGGACGGACGCGTTCACAAGATTTAGGGACGGACGGACGGACAAGTGCAACGCTATATGCTCCCACATTGTGGGGGCATAAAAAGAAAGTAAAGGAATTAATTAAAACTGTTAAAAATGTTAACTAAAGATGAAGACCTACTTTCACAACAAAGACTTTTACAAAACATTACGAATCTTGGCAATGATTGGTGTAAGATCTTAGTACATGTATACAGCCAGGCCATTTTGCACATCAATGCAGTCTAGCTGGACTCTATACTGTTACCTGCTCTAATTAACTTAGTAAAAACTCAAAATAATTTCTTTTTATGTCTATTTTGATACATTTTTGATGGTCAGTGTACCTAACTGATTTTCCTGGATAACTAACCTGTAATTACAATTTCTCTGCAAGCGACCCACTACTTATCCTTTACGATTTTTAAATAAGGTGTGAGAGACAAATTAGCATTAGTCTGAATATTCAAGATCCATTTTCACGGAAAAATTTGGCCTCACCAGGGGATCAAGCCAGCAACCCTTGGATTACAAATCTAATGCTCTCCCTGCTGAACGGGCATGACAATTACATTGATAAAAATTTGTATGGGGAAAAATTAAAGACAATATAAATCAAGATTATTTACCTCCAATAGATACAAACAATAACAGTGCGGTAATTGAGGCTGATTTGGGGTTGAATTTCTGTGACCTGTACTTGATACCACCTACTATCATACATATACCCTGTCAAAATACAATTATTATATTAGTTATAAAGATTATGGACTCGGCTTGGGTACTATTGCAAGCAATCGTTTACATAGGGCCATATAACCTTTCAGAAATAATAAGTACAAATTTAATATACAGCAAACTTCATTTTTAGAGAAAAAAAAGTGTGACTTCTTCATAAATTGACAGTAATCGTGTGTATAAAACTCCATAAACGTCATGATTATCCAATGAAAAGCGACGTAACAAATTCGCAGTATTATAAAAGATGCTTTAATAAAATATATACTGTAGCAATCAAATAAAGCAATGAGCATAACCACATGTATACTTACATTTGCGTAATTTACGAAAATACTATTTCCCTTGTACTATTAGTGAAGAAATATGGCAAATTTATTAATCATATTTACTTAATTTCATTGGTATTAAATTGTTCAACCAATCAGGTCTTTGGAAATGCAATGTAAATTAGATAATAAAATTCATATAACTTACGGGAATAAATAATACACATCCAATTAATGTTCCTGAAAGAAGAAGAAAAAAAATTCCAATCAAAATTTCTTCTTTTATCCCCTCAATATTATTCATATGTCATAAACTAAAGTACACTCTGTATTCATAAAATCATAAATAATTATATCAACACATTCCTTTTCAAAGGTTAATATATAAGTTTTATGCCAAAAATAGAAAAACTTAAAATTGTCATATGAAACCAATGCTTCCTATGTTTTTGTTGGATTCTACTATGAATTAATTTAATTTGTGGGCATGAAATTTTAAGATTATGTCAAAAAAGAAAGTTTGTGGTTTTGTCACAAAGAACATTTTCCTGGATTCTTAAATTTGTAGACAGTTTTTTTTTTCAAAAGGTAAAATGTATATAATGTGATGCAAAATAACCTTGAAATGATATTTTGTTTTGATTGACCTATCCATGAAAACCACGAGTACTAGTTCCCCACGAATAATAATTTTGCAGTAAGTTACCTCAAGCCCTCAAGCATTAAGGTCACATGGTGACTTTCCAAGTTTTACTGGTGCAGGAAGACATAAGGGGGCACCTAAGTAGAACTACTGACCTTCTGTAAGCCAGCTGAATAGTTTCCTCTCATTAAAGTGAGTGATATAAGGCCCCAGTCCAGTGCTTTTAGTTTAGTAGGTAAACTCATACAGTTGCCCTTCTTTGTGTTATTACAGGTTTAAGCTATTTCCGTTTTCATAAAAATCAAGCTAATATAATTACATTATAAAAAAATTATACAATATAGTTACGTCACGTTCAAGCTCAAACAGATATTTTTTATCTTAAAATAAATGTAGACTTTTCCTAATATAAACCTACCAGCTAGGGCTGCCCGTACAAGCTCAGCGTAACATGTAGACTGGGTATCTACACCTTTTAACAGGGATACAATATATAATATCAACTCCACTACTGAACCAAACGTAGCATTCATAACTGCCCCAATAGCAAAACTACTCTGTGCTGATATGCTGAAAATTTAGAAAAATAAAATTATACATGTATTATCTAAGGTTATATGTATCAAGAATTTATCAGTTAAATTATCTGCAGCAAAAACATCATTGGGGAAGAATACATTAAACTTACAGCAATTTAATCCTTAACTTGCTGAAACAGAAACTAATTAGCCTTTGCCACCAGTATTGAGCCTGTTCACATTTTCAGTTTCTATTCTGTTGGAACCCTATTTTTTGTATATTTCATTTTTGGCAATTTTTATATTGAAAATCCTTTTAACATTGAATAGTCTGTTCCAGATACTAAACAGGGCAAATTCATTACAAAAATTTAGCAAATAAAGGATTAAATGGGCTGTTATCTTACCATAGGGTTACAGACAAAGGATTAATTCCATATGGATTATTCTGTTCACACATACATTAAAACTTAATAAATGCTATGGCCATGACATTCCTAGATAATTCTCAAAGATTTTAATTTACAAGGTTGGTTCTTTGTATATAAGTGTATAAGAATAAAGATAGTGACCCAAATATGTATTTTGTTTATAAACCTGCATTCTACAACAAACATAGTGTTCTACGCTGCTTAATCTAAGGTCCTGTAAAACTTTCAAAATATACAAATAAAATTGTGGGTCTGGATGGGAAAATGTTCTATTTTTAAAGCTTTTTTTCCCTCTGTATTATAAGTCTCTGTTAATACTAACCTAATAATGGCCATTCCAATATAGTATGTTAATGGAACAATGGCTAAAACAGCTAAAATACATTTCTGAAAAACAAGAAATAAAATGTTTCTACTGTCATATTTACCACTTTCAACAATAATATGTGGAATTTTTGCTCTGAACATTTTTTTTCATAATAACGGCATGCAGTAAATTGACAAAGAGACAAATTATACTTATAAATATTTAACGTGAGAATTTTCACTTAACATCTACAGTCGACTCTCGTTATCTTGAAGTCATCGGGACCGTCCAAAAAATATCGAGATAACGAAATGTCGAGATAAACGTATAAGGTTTGAACAAGGCAGTAGCTGAGTTTTACAAAGGCATGTGCATACCTTAAGTCAAAAAAAATTAAAGTATGATATCTCTATGTCTTGTTTTCTTTAGCCTAATATCCCAAAGTCAATATTTAACAAAGTTAAATTAGCAGATGTTTACCAGCGGAAATACGGGAGTCTGTGATAAAAACACATAGTGAGGTTAACTCAGTAATACACCACTATACTGAAAACATTTTCAGCGTGGTCGCTCCCGGGTTTGTTATCAGACCATTCTCGAGATAGTTCTACGGCTGTTTGATATTTTTTTCGATGGCATAAAACAATATTGCAACGATAATGTTTCTATACTGAACACTTTTTCATTTACATCTAAAGTCACAATGAATTTAATACAGCGTTCGAATATTTTATAATTAGTGGACGATTCACTCATTTTGGACAAAAGTCAATCAATACGTTAATTAGGTAAACTTTTATAAACAAAGCTCGACTTGTTACAAACATAGTCATCATAATGACACGTGCTATTAAGCGATTCTCATCTGGTTTGTGTTTTTCACACCTTTTCACACGAGAGACGAAAAATTATTAGTCGAGATAAAGAAAGGATAATAGTGTGAAAATTACTGTCGGGCTGAAATGTTACCTCGAGATACGGAAAATATCGAAATAAAAATATCGAGATAAACAGATATTTCCAATATAGATAAAGAAGGAAGAAAGTCGGGACTTTCAAAATTTCATCGAAATAACGAAATATTGAGAAAAGCGATGTCGAGATAACAATAGTTGACTGTAGTTACATTCAAAAGCTTTTTCAAAACTTAATAAATTATTTTAAAAAGTTGTAAGCTGAATGTGCAACCTCTTGTGTTAACCATTTTTAATAATATAAACATGCCACACATAACAGACAGGGCTATGTCTAATTTAGAGCATTAAGCTACTAACATAACAGTCAATACTTACAGTTACACCATCTGTTATCTTATTGTCTGGGTCAGAATACCCTAACACCAGTGATAAAAGTACAAACACAAGCAAATCTGAATATATGTTAAAGTTCAATACTAAAGTTTTATATTAAAGTCCAACAGTATGATTTTTATGTTCAAGTTCAATAATATCATGTTTATAATGTTAAAATCCTATGATAGGTTTATCATAGTCCAGTTAATAATTTGATTTTTGAGAAAAAATGGCCGAAAAAAATACTTTATTTACTTATAATCATAAATTTATAAAAAGAGATAAATAAATCAAAGTTCAATAATCATCTCGGGAAAAAAACAGGTATTTTACATACATATATATTTTTGTAACGGGAGAGCTTTTGTCTGCTGTGTTATTTTCATGGGAGGGCTTTTGTCCGCCCTGTCAGTTTTGGACGGGAGGGCTTTTGTCACTTTCCAATGCCATTACAAGATTCAATACAAGAGCGATCAGTGATCACATGTGTTGCCTCATGATGGCCAATTTCATGTTGGGACAAGTTTTGTGACAGACGGAGAAGTGATCGGAGTAGTGGCGACATAAATTCCTGTAAAGTTAGGATGAAATTGCCCCAGTAGTTTATGAGTAGTTGGGACAAGTTTTGTGACAGCTGGACAGACAGACAGACAGACAGTGCACAACTAGACTTGGTACTGATCATTCCTGTAAAGTTTGGATAAAATTGCACCAGTAGTTTATGAGGAGTAGTCTGGACAAGCTTTTGTGTATCTGGCAACACACAGAAACAAGAGCTGTCCGTAAGACAGCGCGCTCGACTTTTTTAGTGCTTGCCTATAATACAAAACATTGACAGTTAAGGGCCATAATTCAAATAAAATCTTTGACAGAATTACCTTCTCCTGGACATGTTTGGGAATCATGATTGTAAACAAGTATTCCAACTTTCAAATTAATATCTCAAACAGTTCAGTCAAAAAGTGGACTGGTACTAAAAACTTAACCAAGATTCTAAGTCGATAAAAGGCCTTAATTTTTAAAACAAATCCTTGACAGAGTTACCTTCTCTTGCGTACAGATGGGGGTAATGATGTGAAATAGCATTAAAAGTTTCAAAGCAATATCTCAAAGGGTTAAGGCAATAAGTGGATTTTACCCATATTCAATGTATTTTCTAAGTCAAAAAGGGGCATAATTCTGTCAAAAACCTTGACAGAGTTATGTCTCTTGTCTGTTGATGAAGGTCGTGATGGTAAACAAGTATGGTCAGTTTCAAAAGCAATACCTCCAATGGTTTTGAAATAAAGTGAGGTGGTACAAAAAACTTAACCAAGATTCTAAGTCGATAAAAGGCCTTAATTTTTAAAAACAAATCCTTGACAGAGTTACCTTCTCTTGCGTACAGATGGGGGTAATGATGTGAAATAGCATTAAAAGTTTCAAAGGCAATATCTCAAAGGGTTAAGGCAATAAGTGGATTTTACCCATATTCAATGTATTTTCTAAGTCAAAAAGGGGCATAATTCTGTCAAAAACCTTGACAGAGTTATGTCCTCTTGTCTGTTGATGAAGGTCGTGATGGTAAACAAGTATGGTCAGTTTCAAAGCAATACCTCCAATGGTTTTGAAATAAAGTGAGGTGGTACAAAAAACTTAACCAAGCTCAATACACTTTCTAAGTCAAAAAAGGGCCATAATTCTGTCAAAAACCTTGACAGAGTTATGTACTCTTGTCTGTAGATGGAGGTTATGATGGTGAACAAGTATGGTAAGTTTCAAAGCCATACTTGTAATACTTCTGAAATAAAGTGGGGTGGTACGAAAAACTTAACCAAGGTGTGACGCCAACGCTAACGCTAACGCCAACGCCGACGCCGACGCCGACGCCGGGGCGAGTAGGATAGCTCCCCTTTTCATAGAAAAGTCGAGCTAAAAAACACCTTTTTATCAAAGGGCCATAACTCGGCCAAAAATCATTCAACCGGAAAACCCGTGCAATATGCGCAAGGACTTGAGCTACAGATCAATCCTGTAAAGTTTCATTGAAATTGCATTAGTGGTATAAGAGAAGTAGTCCGGACAAACTTTAAAAATAAAAATTATTAAAGGGCCATAAATCTTACAAAAATCATTGAACCGGAAAATGCTGACAATATGCACAACTAGACTTGGTGCTGATCATTCCTGTAAAGTTTGGATGAAATTGCACCAGTAGTTTATGAGGAGTAGTCCGGACAAGTTTTGTGACGGGCGGACAGACGGACGGACGTTCCAACATTTTGGGGTTAGGGGCTATTTTCTTTGTTTTCTTAAGGGCTACTAGCCCATAAACCCTTTGATCGCGGAATGAACCTATTGTTCTCTTTTGTTCTCTTTACTGTTACATAGCCCCTGAACCCAAAATGTTTGCTCGGACAGACGAACGGACGGACAAACGGACGGACAGACGGCCAAAATCAATATAAAAGTGAGAGTATGTTTTCACATTTTTATACAAAAGGATACTGACTAAAATAATGTTCATCCCATCAACAGTGTATTTGTAGTAATAAATATTGACAGACTGATGTGTATACATGATGATTTCACTACGAATTTTCTTCGGATCCAGGGACATAGTTCCCGAGTCGCCCACACTGACTCTGTCCGGGGGAAGCCACAATACATATGTTATAGCTTTACTGTTCACCTAAAAAACATAGACAACATTTACAAAATATATTGTTTTGGTTTTGTTATACATTGTTCTGATAGAATAAAAATAATTTATGATTTACCAATGTTTTCTCTACAGAATTAATCATGAATTAATGGAAAAATAAAACACCTACCGGTATGCTATAAGAATATAGCCAGGCCAGCCTAAAAGTGTGTGAAATCTGATTAGACTGTTGGCTGCTCAACTTAAATATTCTAATATTCAAATCCCTAAATTCACTAAAGCAATGATCAAGATTCAAAGGACATGTACACTACTTCAGGCAGATGAATTTTGTAAATGAATTTGTCTAGCTTCCATTTTGGAAATGTTCATTATCAATTTCATGGATATTAAGATGAAAATTTAAAGATACATGTTATCATTCAACAGGATCAGGCCAGTTCAGACTGTACAGTTGTGCAGACTGGTCTGGTTCTATACTGCTTTAAACAGGCTGACAAAATTTGCAGGGTAAAATTAATTAAGCAGGGCAAGGAAAAATTCAGCAGGGTAGGCATGGGATTATTCAGCAGGGTAAGGGTTATTTAATTAGGGTCATGGGCAATACAGCAGGGTAAGTGTATATTCAACATGGAAAGGGTGATTCAAGCATGGTAAGGGTCAATATATCAGGTTTAAGGTCAATGCTGCAGGTTAAAGGTCAATATAGCAGAGTATGTGCTAATTCAGCAAGGTAAGGGTTATTTCAGAAGGGTAAGGGTCAGTTCAGCAGGGCAGGCCAAGGGGAAATTCATCAGGGTATGGGTTATTCCAGCAGGGTCAAGGTCAATAAAACAGGGTACAGGTCAATTTGTTAGGGTAAGGGTCAATTCAGCATGGTAAGAGTTAATTAAGCAAGGCAAGGGATAAGTCAGCAGGGTTATGGTAAAATCCTGTTATGTCATTGCTCTTCACAATAAAGATTTTTTTCTTTAGATTTTAGATACTGTATAACATGTAGTAATTCAATCAAAATTGCTATGTTACCTTGGCAATGGGAATAGTGACAACAAAGAACCATGACAAAAATGCTACTATTCCATGAACAATCAGCAAAAATGGTGCTCCAAGTATCAACCATGGGTATGTTCTTACTGACATCTGTAAACAAAACATTTCCTAGTTCAAAATAACAATTTCAAAATGCTTCAAAAATTAAGATGGGAAGATTAACTTCTAAATTACATCTTTACACCATACATGTATTTTATATTGACACACTGCAAAGCTCAGTCCAAATAAAATAGGAAAATAGTGTGAAACTATAGGATTTTCATTGGTAGACACAGATATTGTTTAATACCTTCCAAGTGGCATTGAGGCCGAGTGGCTTAATGATTCAGACAAGTAATCTTTGGATTGCTGAGCTGTTTGCCTGAGTTTAAAATCTGTCATGGGCAAGCCTTTGTTTCCTTGAGCAAGAAACATTATACTAATAGCTTTATACTTCAGATGTATCTAGGAATAGGTTCAAGAGTGTGTCTATAGACCTATAGCTTTCTTCATAATCAAATTGAAATAAATTATGTGCCAGTTCAAACTCTGTCAGGGGCAAGATTTTGTTTCCTTGAACAAGAAACTTAGCACTTGCTTTGTACTGGTTGGTTCCAGGAACTGGTTGGAGATTGTGTCTATAGACCTATATAGCTTCTTACACAATGGAATTGAAATAACCTAAATCACTGTTCAGACTGGTTCACAAAAATTTGACAAATATTTTACCCAGAATGACCTCTTGCAGACTGGTGTATGGTAATTCCTCTCATCAAATGTTTCAGATCTAAGTAAACTGGTCTCTTCTTCCAATCCTCCGTCCGTCTGTCTCTGATGATAGTGAGATTCTAAATCGGTTATATTTGGTGACACATGTGTCTGCAACAATAGATAAATCCCATTATATATTAACATTTAATAAGTCTATGTAATTATTGTACAGTGACTTCAGGCAAACATTATTATTACTTCTGGTACAAGTTCAAAGTGTATAAAGCTATATCACATGGATTCAAATGAAATACTATAATGCAATTTGTAAATGGTAAAATTATTATTATTTCCATGATTTTATGGTCAATTCACAAAGACTTGTAACATAGAATGTCTCTGTTATTTAACAAACATAAATATTGTACATAAACAAAATAAAATGTGTCAGAACACATTATTATGCTGCTATTTTACGTAGATTTTAACTGTTCAGCAAAATTTTGTGCATTTGCCATGATTTACTTAAACACATATTATTATCACTTCAAAATATATTTTGCAGATTTATAAATATAAGGCCCCATATTCTTGGCATTGACGCAAGACATTATCACTGCTGAAATTCTGAACTTGACAGGTCTTATTCATTAACAGCTCATTTCATTTAGTGCATTTGCTAAGCTTCAAATTCTGAAGGGATGATTCAGAAATACCAAAATACAAAAATGGGGCTGCCAACAGTATAGAGCCTGGTCAGACTACAAATATATGCAGGCTAACCTGGCTCTATACTGGTGGCAAAGGCTAATTTTGATTTCAACAGATCAATGGTCAAATGAATGCATACATACATACATATACACTTACCAAGTATACAAACTTCCCAAATGGCCATAAGAAATATCTTGCCATCCGCAAACAAAAAGGTGCTGAAATATAGAAACACTCTTAACAAACCATTTCTGAAAACCTGAATAAAGCATTATTCAATTTATAACAATAGCTGTCCTATCGAAATGACAGTGCACTCCATTATTCTCACGTCTGACCAATGACTCTCTGGTGGACTGCCAATGAAGGCTATGAAGATACATAGTACAGTGGTCAGTTGTCAATAAATACAAATGTACTTCAAATATGCTTGAGTAGAGCTGACATAAGAACAATATTTAAAAATTGCTGAAAACGAAAATACACATGTAGTCAGTTTTTGCCAGCAGAAAAGAGCAAGGCCAGGGTGCACAACTATGAAGTCTGACCAGGCTCTATACTGTTGGCTGTCTAACTCTTTCATATCTGTAAAGTGATAAAAGACAGCTCCAAAGACAAACACTGGACAAGATCATCTAACAAATTTGGCAGGTATAAAAAGATAAATACTGGTACTCAGGACTATCAAAGACCCTGGTACCCTGCATGTGATTCTACCTACCATAAGATCTCCCAATGATGGTGATTGCCATAAGAAAAGCAACAATAACATAAACAACAGCCAGCCACCATCCAACCAACAGGAAATACAGAATATTTGTCGGTCGTATAGTTGATACTGAAAATACATCAAAACATAACATACAAAGTTACTACTGAAAATACATCAAAATATGACATATATAGTTAATACTGTTATAAATTGATTCACAACATAAAAAGTTGATACTGAAAAAAGCATCAAAACATATATAGTTGATCTAAATCGATACACACCATAACTAGAAATGTGTCCATAGGACACGGCTGCCCCCGCATGCCACTGTTCTGTCAATCTTATGACTCTAGGTCAAATATTTTTTGGACTACATGTGCCACAAGTTGAAAAACTAAAAATCATTAAAGGGCCATAATTCTGTTAAATTTGGTCGCAGCAAAAATTCCTTCCTTCACTACCATCTACACATTAAGGTTGTTCATCCCTGGAGGTTTAAGCAAAATCTGCCATCCGGTTTAAGAGGAGTTGCGTTCACAAAATTTCTACATAGTATATAGTGAAAAAATCAACAAAGGGCCATAATTCTGTTAAATTTGGTCGCAGCAAAAATTCCTTCCTTTACTACCATCTACACATTAAGGTTGTTCATCCCTGGAAGTTTAAGCAAAATCTGCCATCCGGTTTAAGAGGAGTTGCGTTCACAAGATTTCGGGACGTACGGACGGACGGACGGAAGTTCTCACAGGACAGTAATTATGTTGCTACTCTATTGTTCTCTCTATTGTTCTTTTTAGCCACACAAAAGAAAATAGCCACATAAAAGCATTACGGAATGAATGGCATCAAAGAGAAAGAACAGTTACCTATTGTCCCTCTAGCCACATAATTACTCTCCTGTGAGTGCGGACGGACGTACGGACGGACACTCGGACGGACAAGTGCAACGCTATATGCTCCCACTCTGTGGGGGCATAAAAATGTAGTACTGAAAGTAAATCGAATCACAACATATATAGCTGATACTGTTAATAGCATTAAAACAAATAGATGATTCTGAAAATAAGTTGAAACATGATATAAAACAGGATTCAGAAGAATCACTTTCTTGCATACATATCAAGAAAACCCCCTTTTAGTTTTCTTTGACAAACTAGAAATGTGTCCATAGGACACGGATGCCCCCACAGCCACTGTTCTGTCAATCTTATGACTCTAGGTCAAATATTTTTTGGACTACATGTGCCACAAGTTGAAAACTAAAAATCAACAAAGGGCCATAATTCTGTTAAATTTGGTCGCAGCAAAAATTCCTTCCTTTACTACCATCTACACATTAAGGTTGTTAATCCCTGGAAGTTTAAGCAAAATCTGCCATCCGGTTTAAGAGGAGTTGCGTTCACAAAATTTCTACATAGTATCTAGTGAAAAAATCAACAAAGGGCCATAATTCTGTTAAATTTGGTCGCAGCGAAAATTCCTTCCTTTACTACCATCTACACATTAAGGTTGTTCATCCCTGTAAGTTTAAGCAAAATCTGCCATCCGGTTTAAGAGGAGTTGCGTTCACAAGATTTCGGGACGTACGGACTGACGGACAGACGGACGGACAAGTGCAACGCTATATGCTCCCACATTGTGGGGGCATAAAAAGCATATCAATGTGGTTTTCTTCATAAAATGAGTCACTCGGCTACTTTTGGTTATGTTCTGTTTTATTCATTTCTGGCGGGTACATGTATATTATTAACTTTTGTATATTAGTAACTTTTAGGAACTGGCCCAGCTTCATTCAAATAATAATAATGAAACCACTGACATAAACTTCCAACCCCATTCTCTTCCATTTTCTTTTGATCATAGAAATCTTCACTTCATTAAATCTTAACTTATCAGTTGCTGAAAACCTTTCAAATAAATCTACATTTTTGTCAAAATAAAACTAATTTTTAGGGTAAATTGTGCAAGGGTATTTAAACACGGAATACACTCTTACATGGAGTGTGCTTCTTCCTTCTCTATAAAACATGGGATAAGGATAAATATATAAAAAAGGAATGTTTATAAAATTCATAAGTATTCATGTGCATTATTTGATATAAAAAGACAAAAATGCCACAAAAGTACTCAGTTCAGAGTACAGGCTGTTCAAATGAAGTATTTTACAAACTGATTGTACCATTTAATTTAACCCATAACCTATGGAACTTCTGTATTGGATTTAAGTTACCAGTACTACGGTAATAGTATAAAATCAAGGTCAGACTGCACAAATGTGCATGCTGGCCTGGCTCTTTATTGGTGCCAAAGGTTAATTTCTTTCAGTTCTAGGGGGTGAGGGTTAACATTGTACAAGGAATGTATGCTCAACATTGATTTGCTTTATCATTTACTTCTGATATGGGTATGAAATCGATAAAGGAAAAGGATAATTGAAGTATACTCACAAAAAAAGATTCGAGAGAAAGGTTTTCCTTTAAACTCTGTTGAGGATATAAACATTATAAAACTTGACATAAGAAAAGAAAATACTATCCTGATGGCCCTTTTTTATCACTCACCTGAGTTACTGCTGTTACAAGCTACATATTTTTCTTAAACTAATATTTCATGTCAAATTTATTTAGCAACATTTGCTTTTCCATTTGTTTATACTAAGTCATACTTCTGCAGTCCTTCAAAACTGGCAATTATTTAACACAGAATATTCTACTACAATATTACATGTTTCAGTAAGCCTGAGCCCACCTTCTTATATTTTTTCTTAAGTGGGACACAAAACATAACTTGTGTGTTGCCTATTATAATCTAAATCACAAAGCTAAGATATCAATTTCAGACTTCAATTCAGATCAGCTTAAAACATATCTTTACTTTGTATCGCCTGTTTTTGATACTGTAACTATCCAGTATTGTATTATGGTAGTTTTCATGCTGAAGTTGTATACTGTACTTGTCACACTATTTAATATGAGACTGTCCATATATAGGCATACTGGTGTTCATATAGAAATTCTTAATTAAAAGCAGCAAAATTTTCAACAATGGTAAAACTGTAAGAAGTTTCTGGCAAGCCTGTCTTAACAATAGCAAGGCATATAATATAGTACCTCTAGCATTTACCCATTGAAACTAGGGATTACCCTATTCTTGCTGAATTTTTGTTATGGATTTTTCCCCAGCTTTTCACTTGCAACAGTCCATTAGAAAATTCAGATATTTCAGTATTAAAGAAACCAAAGCTGAACCATCAACAGTATAGAGCCTGGCTAGACTACACAAACGAGCAGGCTGGCCTGGCTCTATACTGATGACAAATGGTTATCAATTTCCGTTCAACCATGTTAAGGGTTGATAATACATGTCAGAATTTAATACATTACCGTACCAACAACTGGTTTGGCCTCAGAGATATCTGCATATAGGTCCTGTACAATGTCTGACCTCTCAGACAGAGGTCGTGCGGTCACATGACTTTTCCACTTCTTGAAACCAAACTGGAACAAAACAATCTCTGATGAACTACTTTTAACAACCATAAACCTTATTTTTACAAGCACGGTCATGATGAAATCAGACAAATGTTATGACATTAGCCAAGAAAATATAGAATTATGTATATACAGAATTTATCAATGGTTTGGTGTGAAACAGCTGTAACTCATAATACATAATGAAGGAGTAATGTCCATTTTGCACCGGTCCATCGATGTATCCAAAATTGTTCTTATTAGTGGAAATACTGTTTCGTCTGTACCATCATGAAATCATTAAACACATCTTTTTCAAATTTAAGCATTATTTGAATAAATAAGATGTAAGTTAAGATTACTTTAAAGTTATTGTCCATTCTGTGGGCCTCAATAGCATTTTCTGGATGTATGACAACACAGTTATGTTCAAACCCTGTTTCGTCTTCCAATGACTCCCCTCTAAGACTGTGTGCCCCAGATCTCTCCACTGTAACAGAAAATGATAGGAAAATCATGCCTAATGAAAAATTATAAGCATTTGAAAAATAGTAAGTTAATCCACACACAGCAATTTGCAAAATGTGTATAATATATCTGCCCTCCTTGAAATAAGGAACTATTATCTATTTTTTATACAAGGCATTATGATAGTGAATCATTAGAATAATTGAAAGCTTAGCCATTGGACATATTGCCCTAATGGTTTATCATTGGAAATCCTTATTAAAGATTAATCATTGGTATATTGCACTAAAGCACACTGCAATAATGGTTAATCATTGGAAATACTGCAATAAAATTAAGCCATTGGACATATTGCAATAATGGTTGATCACTAAAGGAAATCATTGGAAAATCTGTATCAAACTAAGCCATTGGATATATTGTCCCAGTGTTTAATTATTGGAAATTCTCATTAAAAGTTAATCATTGGAAATCCTGCTTTAAATGTTAATCATTGGCCATTGGAAATATGATACTAAGGGTTAATCATTGGAAATAATGCACTAAGGATTAATCATTGGAAATCCTGCATTGAGGATTAATCATTGGAAATCCTGCATTAAGGATTAATCATTGGAAATCCTACACTAAGGATTAATCATTGGAAATGCTACACTATGTATTAATTATTTGGAAATCCTACACTAAGGGTTAATTATTGGAAATCCTGCACTAAGGATTAATCATTGGAAATCCTGTATCATAGGTTTGTCACTAGAAATACTACAAGGGTTTTTTGCTGATAGAACTGCACTCAGTACTGAGTTTATCTTTTGTAATACTGCATTATAGGAAGGAAAGTTATTTAAAATACTTCATTAAGGGTATAACACATAATGCACAACAGGTTAAACACTGGAAATACTGAACTAATGAGTAATCATTGGAAATAGTACACTTAAGGTCAATCTTTAGAGAAAATTCATTAAAGAGCAATCACTAAACATTTTTGCAATAAACTTAACTCGTCGAAATACCGCAGTGAGCCTTTAATCATTTGAAATGTTTCAACTAGGGTAAATTATTGTTCATAATACATTCTGTGCTGCACTAGGAGCTCATTAGAGTATTAAATGGTTATTATATTGCACTTTAAAGGGTAAATTATTGGTTGCGCTAAGTGTTAATACTGCACTTAGGGTTTATCACAGGAAACACTGCAATTTGGATTAATCAGCTGAAATATATATTGTCTTAATTATCACATGAAGATGACATAAACAGACACAATAAGAAATGAAAGTTCAGTAAAAAAATATTTCATTTCACTCTTAAATGTTTATTCAGCATCATTAACATAAATTATATAGAACAGTCAGCTGATGGCAACAATGACATCATCAACAAATGAATTAGATTATTTCATAAGTGTTTTAATTATGCAATAGTTGCTTATTACTCTCTTGCACAGTGGTCGAATGTTTCACTGTCATTCATTTTCTTGCATTGGAAGTAACAGTTACATATCCTATTAGGTGCTAAAGGAGTATGGATGCAAATAAGAAAAGATTAAATGACACCCAAAAGAGGGTAGAGGCACCATCGACTGTACATGTTTAAAACATTTATATTTTTCTTAATAGCATTACTAACTTAGTTGTGAGTCTACTTTTCAATGAGTGCATGTTGTTTTTTGCAAACAGACACAATGTTTAAATGAATAAGTAAATAGTTAAATAAATACTGTTGAAGACAAAACATGTGAAATAAACAGACAGAAATTTTCAAATTGAGGTATTCTTATTGAACAAACAAAGATTGCCAATTTGTACCAAAAATTTGCCCGTCATAAATGATACCTCACTCAATGGTACCTGAATTCAAAAGAATAAAAACAAGATTTTTTGAAGTTAAAATATTGTTCTAAAAATAGTTTACCTTACAATTTTTTTAAATATATCAATATCTCATTCTTATTTTAGGAACCTTCACATACATTTATGTATACATATATTATATGATATGCACAGATCTAGCAGAGTATGCAAGTTTGGTCAATGAGGAATCATAAGTTACTGTACTTATTCATAATTTGATATTGCTGATCATAATGTTATAGGTACTAGATACATGCTTATGAATATATCATGGTGATACATATATAATTTATAAGTCTGTTGTAGATTCTAGAACATTGTTAAAGTAACCGTCCCATAATTTGACCTTATTTTGATCTTGAACTTAAAACCAAACCTTGTCTCAGAACATAACCCTTTGGTGATTTTTTTGGTATTGCATATAGAGACAGTATAATGGAAAGTTCCCAATTTAAACTTGAAAATTCCCAAAATTATGCCAAAAATAAAATATTATTTGTCTTCCCCACCCAACACCAAGCTACCATTACCAAACAAAAATTTTATTTTTAATAAAAATAAAAGCAGGGTCTGACAATGCAATACATATTTTTATATCAGTTTCAATCTTTAATTTTGAAAAATACTTAAACTGAAACTATGATTCTATATAATTTAGACTAAGCAGATGTTAAGCATTCATAATTTCTGAAATTCCTATAAATCATAAATAAGTTTTCAGTAAAAAAAATATTTTGGATAAAAAATATTTTTTTAAACCTGCAGTACATATTACCTACCCCATGCTAACAGGCATGAGTTCCAACTGGGAACACATAAAACGGGTCACAGGGAGGAAAACAAAGATAATTTTAAGGCCTTCCTTGTGAAGATTCTAAGATTTAATCTTAAATTTAGTTCTTTTAAACATTTTCTAGAAATTGAACTTGATATTTTAATAATAATAATATTCATTCATCCATGTTCTTGATGATCTTTTATTATGCCCCTGTTCATTTTATTTACTAAAGATCTTCATTTGCAGGGCTCACACTGGCTTTGTTAAAATAATAGCCAATATTTTAACCTTGAAAAAGATAATAGCCAAAACTTCAGCAGATATTTTTCTTATCACATGTACGTTAATAATGATAAATAATGAATAATTGTTCTTATAAGAAGTTATGTAAGACCGACAGCAATGTAAAACCTTAACTGTCTACCAATCAAATATATGTACAATGTAACAAAAATAAAAACATTTACACAATATAAATATCTTACATTTATGTTCACTGACCAATCGCTTCCTTAAATGACCTTGAGCAAGAAGATCTGGTCCTTGTGAGGTCATAGTTCCCTCGTCTTGTCTTTGATACGAGTCCGGAGTCCTGGTTGTTTCTGTTTGGATACCTTCATCCATATTTAGCACTTTGGCGATATAATTTTATATAAATATAATCTAAGATAGGTAATTCTACAGCATCCAAATTTATTTTCGTCAATCTTGTAATTTTAAAGAATTACTACATTCCATTCACTCACTGCATACATTGTAACTTTAAAACCACTCTGAAAATGGAAAAAAAGAATTACCACTAAAAATATCTACATTTGATGATACAATACTGAAAAACACTGATAAAATTCTTACTTTTTTTAATCCTTTATATAATTTTATATGTACAACTTTAAGTTTACTTGATAATTTTTTTTTCAAATAATTATTTCAACCAACTTCACATATAATATATAGCGTACACCTTTAATTACAATATTTTTAAACCTTTCATGAACATAATTTCAACACATGATTAATGATAACAATATTGAAAGTTTATCAAATTTAAAGTTTATCATATATATCTTATCACGTGAGTAAATGGTGATAAAACTTTTGTCAAATATGTGTGCATCATTTGTTCACTTACATAACAGAAGTGACTGTTTCATTCTTTACCATGTTTTTATACTCTCAAATTACATAATGTTTAACCTTCACACGGTAAAGTGTGTTACATTCATACTGATGAATCCTATCGATTTCTACAAATGTTATCTCCCTTGATCATCAAGCCATGCACTTTAAATAAGTTGCCGCGCTTTACAACATATGGTATAATTATCAGTCAATAATGTAAATCAATTATCTGCTTAACACACATTAGGATCAATGTTGATCAGCACTTTCCTATGATCATGCAGGACAGTTAAGAGCATTAAGTTCAGAACTACAAAATGTCTTATATCTGGGACAAAAATAACTTTTTCTTTGTACCAGTCTATTTTGAAAGTCACATTTTAATGCATTAGGGAAACCATGGTTCAGATTAAGCTGGAGAAATTTATAAATTATGCAGTCTGTTACTGTTGGTGACAGTCATACTATGTCTTTTAAATCTTCATCTTCTTTTGTCATAAATGTAAAGGAAACTTCGAGTATTTTAATCTTGATTATCTTATTAACTATTAAAACAAGTGTTATTATGATGCATGAAAAGGAAATATTGTTCCCATGAATTTTTTTTGTATATATCACAATTTTTAGTACTTAGTTAAATTACCATTTTTTTTTATGTCAGATTACCTTAATGACAGTTATATCTTGGAATAGTGCTTGGTTGGTATGTCCCAGTATCCTGCCTTAAATTATTTTACAGAGAATGTAAATGCCTTATTTTGGCTTTATTTCAGACATAATGTTGTTTTTATTAATTCTTTCCTTTACAAATGTGATAAAGCATGGTAATTTTAAGACAGAGCATATTATAATAATAATTAAAATTAAAATTAGGTATAAGCTTAATAGCTTTCTGCCCAATCCAAAATGTATTCATGTTAAATGTTATGTTGAATAAAATATATGTTTCAACTTAAATTAAGCATTATCAATAGTTTATATTTACATCTAGTCTATTCTCGCCTTTACCAGGTGTTCCCTCACACCCTCTTTGCCCCCCCCCCCCCTCCAACCATATCTCTCCAAAACTCAAAACAGTTTCCTCCCCTGACAATTCTCCCCAAAATTTGTAATATTCAGAATTTCATGTTATTATATTTTTATTATTTTAATAGTAATTATTGAAAATATTGTTGGTATCGATTTCAAATCAACTTACCCATTTATTAAACAAATGCATATTAAAAATAGGTAGAGAACCTAATGCCGCATCTGATGAAAAACAAAAATGTTAAAAAGCGGCTTATAAAGTTTTGGAAGCCAGAACTAAGCTCTACTGTAACGCTGAATATAAAAGATTGTATTCTTCACAAGAAAATTTAACAAGTTTAATAGCCTATAATAAAGTGTGAACGGTTTATGAACTTGATCTATGACTCCTTGCTAACAGTTTAAACCATTTAATACATGTTTTTTTCCTACTATCAAACCGTTCAAAACATCTCTGTCTTATTTAAGTTATTAGTTGAACCATTGCAATTTTAACACTGTTAAAATGCTCTATCTGGTAGATATGCATTATGTATTCGCACATCTTGTGACGTTTTAATTTAATTAATTCAATTTTCAATTCAACCAACCTAACTTTTATTCTTTCTGTACTTACCACAACTGGAGGTCAAAAGCTAGATCATCTCACAACATACATGTACAAATAATTGAACATTATAACTTGGTTTGACATTTTTAAATTGTGCAGAGCTCTACTGGTCGGAGACCATCAACCGAACACTTTTGGAACATTTTTCCGTACAGATTTCATAATTTTTAACCTAGAGACCAAAAAATTTGACACAGTTCAGCTAGGTTCTTCTCCTAACTAATAAACTAGTTTGTTTATTTCTGATTGTATTTACACTTATATCTGAGGCTCGACAAGGAGGGTATCAAAATTACCTAAATTGTCTACACTACAGTACCATGTGTCCGGACAGATATGTACATGATGTGATTTAATTCAGATAAAAGCCTGGGTGTTTTGATTTTTGATTTGTAACATGATATACAATATGTCAGCAACAAATGCTGAAGTTTTGGATTTTCTATTATTCATTATGCAAATGATTATAGCTGGTATATGAGGTCAGGCATTGCTTTCTTGACCCCCGAATTTCAACGTTAACATTCTTGAAATAGACATTAAAATATTACCTTTACGGAGGTTGAAATAAATTCATTTACTTAATTTTAAAAGAAACATGCACTTATTGTTGATAAAAAAGTGACTGACAACCACTGAACAAAGAAAATACTAAATTAAGCATTTTTGGGGCCGTCCGGGTTTGGTGGTTGTCCGGTTTTGGTGGTCCCCAACCAGTACCCAGAATTTAAAAACAACTTAAACATGTCATTTATAAGTTGTTTAATCATGTTTCAGTTTTGAAATGTATTTAAAAGTCGCATAACATACCTGTCACAGGTGCTGTCAGTGCTTGTGAAAATATCGTGAATCCAGTGCTAAGCCGATAGGCGATACTTATTTTACTGTAATTTTATTCCGGCAATTCTTACTTTTAAATAAAGTTAACACAGCAGTTACTTATAAAGGAAAATAACTTGATCTATGACTCCTCGTCATATTTCCTAAGTGAAGAACCTACTCGTCAACCTGAATTATCGTTCAATCTGGTCTTGTGACATGCAGTCGCGAATATGAATGATAATACAGAAGTAAACAAACACGTTGGGCAGTCGATCACGTCGCGCAATTTTTTTTTTTTTTAATTTTTTTATTTAATCGAATCGATTTTTGTCGGCTGCACAGAACATGTTCGATAGACATTATTGATGAACTTAACCCTTTTTACACCAGCATCATTTAGTGCTTGCTCCTTGAATACAGGCTAGCACACAGATGATACTGGTAAATTTAGGGTCATATATACAGTCATATTCCATGTCCATTTTCCTTTCATAGATGGGGTTCCTTAGGTCTTCCAGTTCAAAACATGATGTGCAAGACCGTCATTACTTCCCAGCATGCACTAGTGCTTGTGTTAGAATATGAAACATGCACATAGCAGATACCAGGCAGCAACAACAACCTTTCAAATAATCCATTCTGAAGTTCACAAATCTTATAGAATCCCACAGGTGCATTTAATGTATCATGACTTTATTGTATTAATCATTTTTCTGTAACAAAATTTAAATTTTAATTATGATTCAACTTTTTTCGAAGATCTAAAAATTTAACCTTTTAGTTATGTTACTTAAAGATGAATTAATACATTTCACAAGAATCATAATTTTTAATACTATCCAACTAATGTCCAGAGCACATGTGATGACCTTTGACATACTGTTGTTGGTTTTTATACAGGTTGTGACATTTTGACACCACAGACTTACCAAAATGCCCCAAGCTGTCACAGGAAATGACAAAGATCTGCAATGAACCATTTATAACAATTAAAACATATTTTCTTTTCAATTATGGTTCAATGTGGCAATAGGCATGATATTTTATCTTTTATTCAATGATAAGAATCAAGTGTGGACAATTGAGATGTCAATCAAGCACATTAATTAAGGGATAAAAACTGTCAGACAGGATGTCTCTTGCATTCTGGGCTGTGAAAAATGTCATTCTTTTATCTGATCAATTTTTTATTAATTTATCAAAAAGAGCTTTAAGATCTAGGTGATTATTTGAAAAGATATTGCATTATTAAAAATTAAAATGAAAATTCTAGGAATTTTAAAAATGTTTATACAGCAACTATTTCATAACTTTTATTGATCTTTGGTAATATTTATTTTTAATAGTACCTACATATTGAAAAACTATTTATTTATTTAAAATATCTCCAAAAAAAAAGAAAATATATTATTAGGTGTTTCTATAGTAATGCTGCAAAAAAAAACAACACCAATATATTTAATCGATAAAATACATTTTGTAAGTTTGGAAATTTAATGCTTATTCTTTGTTTTATTGAAGTCAAACATATAGGCCTAACTGTCTTTTATTGTTTTAACCATATTTTGCAAGTATCAACCTGTTTAAATCATTTTATTTTTCAAAAATTATAGTAACCAGTCTCAACTAGTTATCTTACAGAAAATTTGATAGACTTTCATTAGTATTTTTGTGATCTTTACAAAACAACAACAACAAAAAAATCAAACCAAATTGGTTTTTTATTTTCTTGGAAATGTTCACTTATGATACAATTTTTTTTCGCAGCATTGTTTGCCTTGCAAAGAACTGATCAACAGTTCTAGTAGAAAATAGCCATTAAATGGGGGTAATAATAATACTTTTGGAGCTAGTGTCACATGGTCCTGGGAGTTATTACGAGTATAGAAATTTTGTTCTTACAAAAGGTTAAGTTTCTTCTAAAACCTGCAAGTTTCCCTAAATGTTATAGAGTGTTCATGCCTCGAAATATTGCAATTTTCATTTTACATTAATTGGAATAAAACAATACAAAGAGGTAAATTTATTCTTGAGCCTTAAGTTCAAGAACACCTGTTATCCTAAGAATTTCTTTCTGACGATTTTTACTATTGCTAGCGATATTATTCTAGTGCATGTATGTTTAACAGTGTATTACTGGTATGTGTGTGTTTAAGCCTAAATAAACATTAATTCCAGAAATGCCTTGGAAACTGGCTCTTTCTACACAAACTTCAATCATATTAATTTATATACCATGGCAATGTTCAATTTCTTCAATAATTCGTATACAGGCCTTTAAACCATTGTTTAAAATAATATACAATTACAATATAAATTTTATATATTTCTTTATTAAGTAACATAAAATCAGTCGATAACATGTACATGGCAACCAATCTGTGCTATTACAGATATAGAAAAAATAACATAACTAAGTTACAAATATCATGAACAAATTAAGCTACCATTCTTGTTAATACCTATAATGACAGTAAACATTTAGTACTTGACATTTGTTAACGAAGAACTTCGAAAAAAAAAATACAGAAGCAATTTTGTGAAACACTGAGCATTATCAAGCATAAAAAGCATAAAGCATTGCTGCGATCAACACTAAATTTCTAAACTAAATGCCATCCATTTTACATCTGAACTTTGCTTTTTTAATCAACATCTGCTATAAATATAAAATAATCTAGCACGCCTAAAAGCATTTCTGTTAATATCAGATATTGACAGTCCATTACAGCACTGTAAAGATTTCAATGTCAGATTTGTATGGATGTTCATGCTAGCCTGGCTCTAGGTGGTATAGACAAATGTAGGACAAAACACCACATGTCAAAACCCCACACAAAATCACTTTTACAATATACATTTTGATATTGATAATTTAAATGCATTTTTTTTATTCTACACATATTGTTATAATATGTTACAACAAGAGCTGTCCGTAAGACAGCGCGCTCGACTTTTTTATTGCTTGCCAATAAAAAAAGTTTTTGCAGTAAAAGGCAATACAAGAATCTCTGTATTTTTAAAGTGAACAATGGCCATGAGCATTAAGATATTTAGTGAAGAATTATTTTACTGAATTGTGTGATACCCTTGAACACTGCAGCAAAGTTTGAAATGTTTAAGGGCCATAATTCAAATAAAATCTTTGACAGAATTACCTTCTCCTGGACATGTTTGGGAATCATGATTGTAAACAAGTATTCCAACTTTCAAATTAATATCTCAAACAGTTCAGTCAAAAAGTGGACTGGTACTAAAAACTTAACCAAGATTCTAAGTCGATAAAAGGCCTTAATTTTTAAAACAAATCCTTGACAGAGTTACCTTCTCTTGCGTACAGATGGGGGTAATGATGTGAAATAGCATTAAAAGTTTCAAAGCAATATCTCAAAGGGTTAAGGCAATAAGTGGATTTTACCCATATTCAATGTATTTTCTAAGTCAAAAAGGGGCATAATTCTGTCAAAAACCTTGACAGAGTTATGTCCTCTTGTCTGTTGATGAAGGTCGTGATGGTAAACAAGTATGGTCAGTTTCAAAGCAATACCTCCAATGGTTTTGAAATAAAGTGAGGTGGTACAAAAAACTTAACCAAGCTCAATACACTTTCTAAGTCAAAAAAGGGCCATAATTCTGTCAAAAACCTTGACAGAGTTATGTACTCTTGTCTGTAGATGGAGGTTATGATGGTGAACAAGTATGGTAAGTTTCAAAGCCATACTTGTAATACTTCTGAAATAAAGTGGGGTGGTACGAAAAACTTAACCAAGGTGTGACGCCAACGCCGACGCCAACGCCGACGCCGGGGCGAGTAGGATAGCTCCCCTTTTCATAGAAAAGTCGAGCTAAAAATGCACAACATATAACAAAGAAAGCTAGACACTGTGCAGCTTATTATAACAAATATTCTGTTCTGTTCTAAATTCTGTACAATCATGTACATGTATATACATGTTTATACAGTACACATGTACACGTAAATACATGTAATATCTCAACATAAATTTTGTGTCACTGGACACAAATATGATATAACTCCGTATAATCAATCATATTAAAATGCCCTCTAGCAATAACTTATATATTTTGCATCAATAATTGCAACTATCCCATATATACATAGCTTACCAAAGTAGAAAATATATTTATAATAACAAATCATTTTAGTGCAAAATATAACAACAAACTTTGTTAATAGTATCCACTATTCAATCTTAAACAAATTAAAATACTATAATTCAAACAATATTACATTAAAATCAGAGAGAAGTAACTTTTCCCCAAAAAAGATATTTTCTATGCGCACCTTTTTTTGTATATATATAATGGAAATAAATTTGATCTGAAAATATTGAATATGTAAAAAAATCTTGTTTAGTGATAAAATAGGTATATCCACACTTAGTCTTGAATTTTTTTTATAGCTACATGTATATGTACATGACTGTATCTATTGTTAAATCAACTCTGACTTTACTGAGTGTGTTAAAGAATTTCTTTAAATGAGGAAATGTCCCATTAGTATTTCAGGGATTCCATTATAAAGGTACATAACGGCAGACGCTGCACTGCAATAAAATGGTATATCTTTACACTACTATTTTCAAAGAGACTTTACTGAGTTTTTTTTTACATGACAGGACTAGAAATATTTTTTGTTGAGATTTTTAATTAATTTGATGCAGGTCTATGCCAATAACTTGTGATCTTCAGATGATTCTTCTCTCCTCGTTTTTCCAGAATAACATTTCTTTGTACAATGACCCAAAAGAAAAGCGTTAACTAAGCTATTAACTCAAATCGAGCTATTAAGAACCACACTAAATATTGATTTTCAATTTATTTTCTTAGTTTATTTCTTTATCATCTTTTCTTTCATATTTTTTTCATTTTAATTGCCTTAATTGATATATGTAAGATTTTCACATTTTACACTTTTAGGCTTTTTGACCTCTATGAAGCCCCTTGCCCCTTTAAATTGTCTAGCTTGAAAATATAATGGTTTCAAAGTCCTTCAGTAAAGGCCTCTACCACACTAAAATATAGATATATTTATTTCCTTTTTGTATCAGTCTGTATAAAATTAAACATATTTTACTTAGACCTTTATGACTGGTAATGAACACTATAAATAATATATATACATTAGTGACATGTGTGGTCCTGGAAACAGCTTGAGGCATATAAAATCATCCCTTACCACAAATATTCAATGAACAAGTTTCAGTTACATGATATGTCAATGAAAAACATATCAATACATATCTGAGAAAAAAATTAACTTTTATTGTAATAAGAACAGAATACAGAATAATGATATCCGGTCTTCTGACAATTCATGTTTTTATGTGCAGGTAATAGTTAAACTAAGGCAACTTACTTGAAATTCTCTATACAAGTAAATATCTTCTTGACTCAAAGAGTTAGAGATCATCTCTGCATCATACTAACACAAAACACCACTAAATTTACATAATGGACTTGTCTGGCTTTGAATTTGGAATGATTCATTGCTATATAATGGGGGAATCACTATCAAAAAGCTTAAATTTAGCAGCAGGCAGGAATTATGTGTTCTGAGCGAAGCTCTAAACTAGAAGCATAGATCTTACGCCATCAAAGTAATAATGCTTTTAAGTTTATCAACTATATCTTCTTTAATCTCAATGGGAATGCACCAGTTATTTAAGGACAGTTTATAAACAATTGAGTACCATTCAATAGTCATTCACTATTCATAAGACAATTATAGTGCCCTCCTTACAGTGACCTCACAAGCAGGGGTCATGACTTATTACTTATGATCACATGGCAAAAACACTTGTATCTACTTAGGATCTTTTAACAATTATCAAGTGGTATACAGTTGTATTATCATACGAGTTGTGTCCCGACAAAACCAACATAATGCATTTGCGACCAGTATGAATCCAGACCAACCTGCACATCCGTGCAGTCTGATCAGGATCCATGCTGTTCGCTTACAAACTCTATAACAAGTAGAGAAAGTAATAGCGAACAGCATAGATCCTGATCAGAATGCGCGGATGTGCAGGCTGGTCTGGATCCATGCTGGTCGCAAACCCATTATGTTGGTTTTGTCGTGACGCGGCTCATAGAATCTAATTGAATCATGAGTAAATTAGTCTACATCTTACCAATGTCAAGGTTGCAGAATCAGTATGGTATTTAAATATGCCAAACTCTTAATCATTAAAAATGTGAAACTTATTCATTGAAGATCATTTGTTTACTATTTCCTGCTAATATATCAAAGTTTTCTATTGAGGAACTGAACGGTTTAGATTCCTTTTGCTCATTTTATAACTACATGTAATTGATTGTAATGGTTTGTACGAGCATTGTCTTAATTGTTTCAAGATTTTTTAAGTCTCATAGGCCAGGTAATGTGACAGTTCGTGACAGAAATAATCTCACATGTCTCTCTGCATTTCTACTGAAATTCAGAAATACTAATATATAAAGTATTGTTTTATTCTGCATTATTACTTTTCAACGATTTCAATGTTGTTGTTTAGGAGTTGGTTAAGTAACATTTTCAGTAATCAGTTTTCAATTTCTTTGCCTTCAGTATATTACTAATTATTACTAATAGAGTTATGGCCCTTTAAATGCACTTTTCTTGTAAAATTATTGTTGGCATTAGTTACTGCAGGATTACAGGCTATAAAAGCACCATTTTTCATGAGACCACCATTGCAAAAGTCACACACATTTTCAAATTACCATTTCAATGCATACACTAATCACAGTCATTGAATTTAAAATTTTGAATTGACTGGCCCAAATTCCAGTTCTGAATTTATTTACTATATGTTTAACTAAAATTTCTTAAAATTTACACTGGCCCAAACTTATTTTCACTGGCCATGGGCCACCGGGCCAGTGCTAAATTTGATAACTGAAATCATACTTTCATATAAAACCATACTCAATATTTGTCATGTCCTTTCTCAATCTTAAAATAAAAGAAAGAAATTTATTTACTATGCTACAAATGTTTTGGATTTCAACCTATGTCATGTAAAAGCAAAATGTATAACTAAATTAACAAACCATTAAACTATAACAAATAAATGGATATCTTAAGACTAGCTTATCATAGAACAACAAATGAATTTGTACACATAATATAACATATACACACCATCAATAAATTTAAATTCACAAAAACTTGCACCAAAATTTTTTATCACTTTTTTTTCATACCAAAATCCGTCAAGCCAACAATGCAGTATTCTCTCTAGGCAATATTTGCTGCCTTCTAAATCTCTAAATTTATCACAAAAAGCTGACAAGAGGTACCTCCCATCACATCATTTACAGTAATCTCGCCTTCTAGATGGCAACAATTTTTTTTAAGAATCTTTATTCTGATCAGATTCAGTAGAAAGGACACTTTCTGACTGATCATCAGCTAAATTGTTTTCATCTGAGTTTTTATCACTTGAAGACAATTGCGTATTGCTCATTTCTTTATTTTCCGAAATAATTTCTTTCTCCTTGTTGGCAAGTTGTTGCTGCTGGAGGAGACGTTTCACACCCATCATCCACTGGTTAACCTGTAATATGTCATGACATTGTTATATCAGCTTTAAAGTGAATTGGTCTATAATGCAAGGTCTTTAATACCATAAATAATTACATATGTAGTTTGATAGTATTTTATATCATAGATGAAAGCAAACCACAATCAAATTAAAAATAGACGTTGTTGGTGTTACTTACTCTTTTTACCAACTCTTTTTATAAATTGAACAATACAGGTAAATTCCTATGGATATTTACAGAAATTTTCTTGGGCCACATGAGTTATTTATCGTTCATGTGGAGTAAGATATAAAATTGAAAGGAATTATGGCAAAATGTAAACTTATTTTAACCTTCACCTGTTCACTCACTATATACCCTTGGAAGGGCATAATGTCACTTTAATATAATAAGATTACATAAACCTACCTCTGTTATATGATCAACCATTAGTGCCAGATGAAGATGATTTGCTTTATCTGTCTCACCATTCAACAGTGCTACAGAAAAATAAACAAGACATTAATGTAGGAAAGGAAATATAGTTATTTTTATTTTTTTAAGAATATGTTCAGCTTGAAGAAAGAGAGTTGTTTTTTAATTTCTTGCTTGTTTACTGATCAAGATTGCAAATTTAAACATCATTGTGCCCTTAAAATGAACAAATAAATCCTCTTTTCAGAGATTCCAGATAGCATTATGGCAGCAGGGACAAATTTCTCAGAACATTAAACCTTATTTGACTTCTTATGAATATGTTTCTGTTACAGAACTTAAATGCCTTAATCAGGCAATGTCAATAAGCAAAAATTTACTGCTAATTTTAATAATTACAGAAAAAACACTAAAACCTTTGTAGGTTAATGCTTACTCTTTGACTTGGAGAAATATTCCTTGGCAATTAAAAGTTGTGTCATTCTAAGTTTTACAGAGCCTCACCCATTAAAAGTTGTGTCATTCTAAGTTTTACAGAGCCTCACCCATTAAAAGTTGTGTCATTCTAAGTTTTACAGAGCCTCACCCATTAAAAGTTGTGTCATTCTAAGTTTTACAGAGCCTCACCCATTAAAAGTTGTGTCATTCTAAGTTTTACAAAACCCCACCCATTGAAAGTTGTGTCATTCTAAGTTTTACAGAACCCCACCCATTGAAAGTTGGGTAGTTCTAAGTTTTACAGAACCCCACCTTTTGAATATTGGTAAATTCTTACTTTTACAAAGCCTGTCTTTTGAAAGTTAGGTAATTCTAACTTTTAAAGTACCTCACCTTTTGAAAGTTGGGTAATTCTAACTTTTACAGAGCTCCACCTATTGAAAGTTGAGTATTGAAAGTTGGGTAATTATAAGTTTTACAGAGCCTCACCTATTGAAAGTTGGGTAATTCTAAGTTTTACATAACCTCACCTATTGGAAGTTGGATAATCTAAGTTTTACATAACCTCACCTATTGGAAGTTGGGTAAACTAATTCTAAGTTTTACAGAATTTCACCCATTGAAAGTTGGGTAATGCTAACTTTTAAAGAACCTCACCTATTGAAAGTTGGGTAATTCTAAGTTTTACAGAACCTCACATATTGGAAGTTGATTAATTCTAAGTTTTACAGAATTTCACCTATTGGGTAATTCTAAATTTTAAAAAACCTCACCTATTGAAAGTTGGGTCAATCTAACTTTAACAGTATCACTAAGACAGCCTTTCCTCCATTTCTCCTCCAAAACTTCTAGTTTCTTCTTTATTTCATCACAGACTTTAATCTGTAACAGAAAGCATGTTTTCATTATAATCAAGAGTTAAAAGAATATTCGGACTTTGTAAGTTTTTTTTGCTAAATAACACATAATGCCATATACTGAACATTTTCCTCTTTGTTTCTTTCTTTTGGCACCTTTCAACTCATTTTTGGTCATATCTCACCAGTCAGTCCAGTAAACCTGCTTTCATGGTAACTTACCAGTCACCGTAATTGACCCATTACTAATCCAACATGATATCTAAATCAGCAGTGAGAGACAAATTACCATTAGACTCAATGTCCAACATCAACTGTCACAGAGAAAGTTTGCCTCACCACAGGATCAAACCTTTCCTGCTAATAAACCTAAATAATCAGTTTATCTACAACCGCCTATACTCAGTGATTTAAACAAAAAATGCCTTTTTCAAAGTTCATCAAGGGAAATAATTCAGTGAAAAAGTGATTGTCAGCGATACGAGATACAGGTTCAGGACAATTACAGTAAATACAAACACTGTATGATCCCAAACACATGTTTCATATGAATAATATCCAGTTGGGCTAAATCTTTTTCGCATAACATTAACCTTGACACTGAATTTCGGTTAATCCAAATAATATTTGGCAAATATTATTGAACAAGAGGGCAATGATGGCCCTGAGGTCGCTCACCTGTATATAGGCCCCCCCCACCCCTGGGCCAATTTTTACCCAAGGGCTTTTCTTTGTTTATTTGAACAGACTTGGTAGACACCCATAAGAAGATGTTTCATGCTAAACTCTAATTTCTAGCTCATTGGGTTTTTTAAAAGAAGATTTTGAAAGTTTTTACTATACACATATAGTTAAAAACAATGACACCCCTGTGGCAGGGCCAGTTTTGACCCCCGGGCTTTTATTTGAACAAACTTTGTAGATATTTACTTAAAGAGGTTTCATGCTTAATATCTAAACTCTAGCTATTTGGGTTTTTTCAAAGAAGATTTTTTAAGTTTTTGCTATACACATATAAGGAAAATCAATGACCCATCCCCCCACCCGGGCGGGGCCAGTTTTGACCCCAGGGCTTTTATTTGAACATACTTGGTAGACACCAATTAGAACATGTCTCATGCTAAATATCTTAGCTCTAGCTCTTTGAGTTCTTTAAAAGAAGATTTTTTAAGTTTTTACTATATGCATATAGGGAAAATCAATGACCCCCTGGGACGGGGCCAATTTTGACCCCAGGGCTTTTATTTGAACAAACTTGGTAGACACTTATTAGAAGATGTTTCATGCTAAATATCTTAGCTCTAGCTCTTTGGGTTCTTTAAAAGAAGATTTTTTAAGTTTTTACTATATGCATATAGGGAAAATCTATGACCCCCTGGGGCGGGGTCAATTTTGACCCCAGGGCTTTTATTTGGACAAACTTGGTAGACATTCTCTAGAAGATGTTTCATGCCAAATATCTAAGCTCTAGCTCTTATGGTTCTTTAAAAGAAGATTTTTTAAGTTTTTACTATATGCATATAGGGAAAATCAATGACCCCCCGGGGTGGGGCCAATTTTGACCACAGGGCTTTAATTTGAACAAACTTGGTAGACACTCACTAGAAGATGTTTCATGCTTAATATCTTAGCTCTAGCTCTTTGGGTTCTTTAAAAGAAGATTTTTTAAGTTTTTACTATATGCATATAAGGAAAATCAATGACCCCCTTGGGTGGGGCCAATTTTGACCCCAGGGCTTTTATTTGAACAAACTTGGTAGACACTTATTAGAAGATGTTTCATGCTAAATATCTTAGCTCTAGCTCTTTGGGTTCTTTAAAAGAAGATTTTTTAAGTTTTTACTATATGCATATAGGGAAAATCTATGACCCCCTGGGGCGGGGTCAATTTTGACCCAAGGGCTTTTATTTGAACAAACTTGGTAGACATTCACTAGAAGATGTTTCATGCCAAATATCTAAGCTCTAGCTCTTTGGGTTCTTTAAAAGAAGATTTTTTAAGTTTTTACTATATGCATATAGGGAAAATCAATGACCCCCCGGGGTGGGGCCAATTTTCACCACAGGGCTTTAATTTGAACAAACTTGGTAGACACTCACTAGAAGATGTTTATGCTTAATATCTTAGCTCTAGCTCTTTGGGTTCTTTAAAAGAAGATTTTTTAAGTTTTTACTATATGCATATAGGGAATATCAATGACCCCCTGGGGCGGGGCCAATTTTGACCCCAGGGCTTTTATTTTAACAAACTTGGTAGACGCTTACTAGAAGATGTTTCATGCCAAATATCTAAGCTCTAGCTCTTGGGGTTGTTTAAAAGAAGATATTTAAAGATTTTTCTTTCGGTTGCCATGGCAACCAGAGTTTTGCATGGAATTAAATTCTTTGAACAATTTTTAAAGGTGACCACCAAAGGAACATTCCTGTGAAGTTTGGATGAAATTGGCTCAGTGGTTTATGAGGAGATGTCATTTAAAGCAAAAGTTTACGGACGGACGACGGACGGACGCCGGACGAAAAGCGATCACAAAAGCTCACCCTGTCTAAAAAGAGCTAAAAAGTCAAGTTAATAACATTTTTTTTTTTGGTTGGGTTTAACGTCACACCAACACAGTATAGGTCATCTGGCGATTTTCCAGCTTTACTGGTGGATAAAGACCTTCTCAGATGCCCTTCCATGCATTATTTCAGGCACTAACGGGCACCAGAGTAGAACCATCGATGTTCTGTAAGCTAGCTGGATAGCATCCTAAATGAAAGAATCCAAAGTCCCTGTTGGGATCCAAACCCACAGCAGTGATGGGCAAGTGATTCGAAGTCAACAACCTTAACCACTCACGGACTCCCCTTAATAACAAAATTACAGATAAAACACAAATAATCTTTTAAAATTATAAACGCATTTCTATATAGTTAAATTTTGCCAGTAATACACAATATACTAATATGAATGAAAGAAACATACATTTGTAAGTATTTTCAATACCATTTTTTATATCATATACATGTGTGCTTGGTTTTGGAAACTTACAAATAGTTTTTTAATAATGACAGTTTACAAGCAAGATGTATGTTTTGCTGGGTTTCAAGTCACATAAACATTGCAATAGTCACATGTTGACATCAAAATTATAGTGGAGTAAGACCTTGTCATTTCGGGCACAAGCTGGCGCCCTGAGTAGTTCCAACAATATTTCATAAGCAAGTTGAATGTACAAATGTAAAACTATATATATTAATATATATGGACTAATAATATATGATTATAATATAGTGCTGTTTCACTGAAATATTCAACACTTGAAATGTTATTCCATACAAGTACTGTGCTCAAAAGATAGAATCTATACCACTTCTTTTTTTTCTTTTTTGGTATGACCCTGCCTAGAAATAATAATTCTTACCGTTAAAATATTCCTGTACAGGTCAAGAACACTGTCAAAATTATTTAGATTCAGCTGCAACAGTTCAGAATCATCATTAAATGAAAGCCGCGACATAAGTTCTTCCAGTCTTTCATTCTCTAACTGAATAGCTTCTGGTACCTGCTCTTCTGTTTTTGGAGGTGAGGAAGGTATCAGCAAGGGAACGAGGATTGGAACCGTCTGAGGTGTAGATGTATCAGCAGTTGGTGGTAGCAGCTGTATTGGACTCTGAGGTGCTGCCTGGTTACCAAGGGGCGTGTCTCTGAGTCCAATAGGTATTGGTGGCTGTGTTGGAAGAAGAGGCGGTCCTTGAAGATCGGCTGGTAAGACTGCATTCAAAATGGGAGGACCTTGGCTCGGATTCAAAACTGAAACATTTAAAAGAATGCCTAATTTATAACAAACATTTACAGTGTAGTAAACAAAGATGATATAAAATATTTGAAGTGCACAACATTAACTATAACTACTCTTAAAATATTTTTTAATAAATTACTTATTGTCAAGCCAAAAAAATCCAAAAGGTAAAAAGTATATATGTTGAACTAACAAAATATATTTATAACAAATAACATTTAACAGCTAAAAGCATAATAAAGACAGGCAACTATCACTAGTTAGTGCATGTACATACATATAAGCAATTCTTTCCCTATAATTATATGTAGTACTTCTTTACAACTTAAATTATTAATTATTCCATATACTATAGTTAATTCAAGTATAGTTTTATTTTTAGTCAAAACTAAAATCATACCATCTTATATCCTACATCGTTTTTTTATAAAAAAAATTTATACCTGCATGACCTGGAGTTGGGCTATCAGTGTTCCCCGACACAGGAAAGGCTACCCTCTTGTTTAATGTTCTCTTTGGGGGTGCTGCTCCCTCCTGTTCAGTATTATAGTTAAACATGGGTGGGTCATTCCAGCCTCTCTCAGGATTACCTGTTAATACAAATGAAATGCAGAATAGATTTTTAAGATCACTCATTAAATGAAATAACCTAATCATCACCAATTATTTTGAGTAACCATTCCATAATAAAGATTACAGTTCTTTACCCTCAGCCTGCTGATTTATGCAATGGTTTGCCCAAACAGCCCATTCAAAATAGCCCTAATTCAAAGTTTAATAGATTTCGGTTTTGTTTGTTTGTTTCATTTTACGCCTTTTCCCAACAGTATTTCAGTCATAGAGGCGGGTAGTTTCCTAACCATCGTTTCTGGAGAGTTACACCAATACTAGACTACCTTCCTCTGTGCTAAACTACCAAAGCATCTCCCGAGGATCGAACCCATGCCAGAGAGGTAACAGGATTAGAAGTCATCAACTCTAACCCCTCGACCACGGACGTGGTACATGGATTTCGGTATCTAACAGTATAGAGCCTGGTCAGACTACAAGAATGTGCAGAGTGGCCTGGCTCTATACTGACTGCAAAGGGGTTATCACTTTTGGTTTCAGCAAGTTTAAGATTAATGTGATTTCATCTTTCTGTTTACAAATACAGGTGTATTAAATGATCATGTACCAAATGCCACTACTTGGAACTTAGGATAATATAATGGATATAAATTTCATTTGTAAAATAAAAAGTGAAGTAAAAAAAAATCCCTGTGATGGTGAAAATATTCAATTAGAATAAAAACAGCACCAAAGTGCAGACTTGCCTTGCTCTATACTAGTGGCAATGGCTATTCCCTTGGTTTCAGCAGGGCAAGGGTAAGAGTGAGACTCAACGCTATTACATTGAAGTTACTTGTTGTCATTAATGCAATCATTAGTAATTCAAAGCTAACTAATCTGGAACTTGTTTAATAAATTTGTTATTAAATCTACATAAATATTATATTTTATTAATCACATATCCAAAATTAGAATGATTCACAGTTAAAAAAAGTCTTTTTTCATTGAAGGCCTGTAGTGAAACGCTAACATAAGCGCGCTTCAATGTTATGTATATAAATAACGCATATGATGTCACATCAAAGTGTTATTACACTAGTGTAATATCGTTTTAATTAAATGGCTTTATTACAATGTACACTTCTACGGCATGGTTTATATACCGTAGTAATATACTACAATTAACATTATTAGCTATAAGTAATCAAGCCTTCTGGATAATATTCTCCTGGTTTTGAGTCTGGGTATATTAAACCCAGGATATTGCCATAAATGGGGTTATTATCAAGTATGGATCACGATATGTCATCAGTCATGCCCTGAAAGATTTGATGTGCATAAAAACCAAGGACAGTCTCCTAACAAATTAATCTGGAATTGTCCAGTTTGTGCATTGTGTAGGTTTTATAAACAGATAAACTGTATTGAGATGTGCAAATTAGAAGATAAGAATTGCTTCCTTAAAAAGTATTCGATTAATTTGACAATGGCGAGATTTTATAAATAAAACATTTCAAATTGACAGATGTCATGAATGTTGATATTTTGAGTAATTTGACAGTCGAGTTATCTCCCTTCTGCAAATGTTTTGTATCAAGTCATCTGGTGTTTGAGATGGAAATGGTTGTCTTGATAAACAGAAACGCTAAATATTTATTTGAAGCATATCATATGCTTTCTGATAAAATGATATCTGAAAAATATTTCTTTCCTTAATTTACCTGGCCTAGTTTTGGAAGCTGCCATTATAAACAAAAACACGTGTCAAGTATTTAACCAATCAAATCAAGTTATGAGCACGTTTGATTTATAGCCATGAAAATATAGTAATCAAATGTAATCGAGTATTATTTCAATTCAATATATTTTATCGCATAAAGATTGCACATAACAAACATGTATCAATATGGTAACATTTAATTTTATAACATTTTATATTTGTTATTAAACATTTACATTTTCTGATGTTTGTAAGTTACTACAGCCACAGTGTCAAAACTTAGCATCACTTTGTTTCCAGATTTTTATACTTCACAACAGCAGGTGTCAAGTGCTGTGTGGCAGCTGTAAAAAGTTGCCACGTACTCTTCACTTCAGTGTTGTTATATTTTTCTGGTCCTTCGAGATCATTGATGCCAGCACTATTGAGTGTTGAGAATTAAGAACCGCTCAAGCCGGTGTTAGGGGGTGTGAGGGATGTTGCACATATTCATTATCCCCAATGTACAGACTCAATCAAACCGAGACTGCAATTCTCTTGTAATTTTGTTGTGATTAATGCTTCCAAGGGATCACTTTGTTTCCAGATTTTCATGGCTGCAGCCCCTAGTTCAGTCCCAAACCAAAATAAGTTTGTTTTTGTGTTTTGTTTTTTTTTTTTTTTTTTTTTTTTTTTTTTTTTTTTTTTTTGGGGGGGGGGGGGCTTATCTTGAATATTTTTGTGTAATTTACTGCCTGTAGTGTTCTCCCTCCCTAATCAAAACATTTTATTGCAGTTATCCAGTTGTTGATATCCTGCTTAGATACTTACAAGAATGACTTGAACATTGAAATGGCGTATTGATTAGTTTATTACTTTCCAATCTTCTAGAATAAAAAGAACAGTCACAAAAAAGTAAATGTTTGAAATTTTCATAATTTTCCGATAGTATTATCTATTCAGGACAAGAATACATGCATCCCTTGCTTTACTTAGAAATACTCAAACATATCAGAGTATGTAAATATGTATATTATAAATTTCTGAATAAACATATGTATGTACCGGGAAAATGGATAAATCCTCTAATATATATAAACATTTAAACATTACAATTTTACAAAATGAAAATAATACATATTGGACTTGTTTCTTGAAAAATTGTAAAATAGAATATAAAAAAAAAATGTTGTTTTTTTTTCTTATGTTTATCATGTCTTGCTTTTCACTAACCACTTAGGCTATCACAAAGTTTTCATATATATGTAATTTTAATATGTAAGTTAAGATGATTTAAAAAAAGAACATTCTTGCAACTTTTAGGCTTTCAGTTTGATCGGCTATCAGTTTAGTGCAGGGATTCAATGATGAATGGACCTGTCACATAGTGTCATAACGTAATGTGTACGTTGATTGGACATATTCATTTGAGTAATGGTTGAGATCAATCAAGATAATCCAATCAGTGACCAATCAAGTTATAACAACAATATTTGTCATGTAAATACAATTCAATACATTATCTTTATTTCTCTCAAGACATGCACAATTTATATAAAAAAGATATGTGTAATTCGAATATGTAGGTTAAGATAATTTTAAAAAAGAACATTCTTGCAACTTTTAGGCTTTCGGTTTGATCAGCTATCAGTTTAGTGCAGGGATTCAATGATGCATGGACCTGTCACATAGTGTCATAACGTAATGTGTACGTTGATTGGACATATGCATTTTTACTCAAATGGTTGAGATCAATCAAGATAATCCAATCAGTGACCAATCAAGTTATAACAACAATATTTGTCATGTAAATACAATTCAATACATTATCTTTATTTCTCTCAAGACATGCACAATTTATATAAAAAAGATATGTGTATCAGGATATTTCTCACCAATTATAACAACGTGAGAATAACCAAAATTGTTTTACCCAATATGTTCAGATATTAAATAAACAAATTATTTCTTTGACAAATTCAAAAAAATTCCTATATTCCACTTTTTTTAAAACATTTGTTTTCCATTAATTTTTTATAACTAATGATATTCAGTCTGTTGCAATATTTTGCTTTTAACAAGCTGTTACGAGTGCCTAACAAAAAAGAACATTAGAACAGATATTCATCGCCAATACCATTTTTGCATTTCGTACAAATTCTAAGATTTAATGGGATTCTATGCCAACATCCAGTTTCTACATGTCATGTCAAACCTTGAGGTCAAAGAAACCTTTTATCCCACCACAGAAACATATTTAGGTGGTATTCTGGAACATCAAATAGATGAAAAGACAAGAGCCAAAACACACAGTAAGTGTTCCGGAAAATTTCCGAGAAAATGTCTTAAATTGTTCTAAGTGTAAGTGGATGTTCACTGTTTCTTTAGACAATTAACTAAATTACAGTGGTAAAAACTTGATTTGGTGGGAACTATACATGTAGAAGTTTATGACAGAGAGCATGTTTTAAACAAATATTTGATATTATATTATAATTATGATATAAAGGAGAGAAATTGGGACCTTATTGAAATGTTCCTTATAACGAAGTGTACGCTAAATCAGAGATAAATGAAGACCATTGAAACATTATTTGCATACTAAATGAATTATTATAGTGAATGACTTTAAATATTTCTGGTTCTATTTATTTTATTATCTTCAATTTCGTCAAAACACTGCTGGTGACCTAGACATTGCGCGTCACTAGTAAGAAGAATAAAAAATGAAAAATGGCCCATGGGAAAAGTGAGTATTTATAATAGTTGGTAGTTGTTTGAATTTGTTTGAAAGATGTGGAATGGGAATTTAGAGTTGCTCTAGTTGCTGGTTTTAGGTAACCTGGGAGGAAATGGCAACCTTATTTTGCTTGATAGCTTTAGTACCGGTATATCTCTATACATGTATCTGTCATATCATTGACTTTTATATTAGCCTATGATTTCATAGAAGGAGAAGACTTTGATGTGAAGACTGATTTGAAGTTGTTGGTTAGAATTTTTGCTATGTCTTGCCCTCTGTGTGTGATTTGTATCGGTGCTTTAGTGTTTATAAGACAGTAGTGTCTTCTTGTATGTTTTATTTCTTGTTATTTGACAGGTTTATGTTGAGATTGTTCTGTTGTGGAGATATTTTTGAGTTAATTTTAGTAGGTAAGTCCTGTTTTCCTCTTACATACATTTTTTTTAAACCCAAGATTCTTTAGATAGTGTTTTTTTGCCTTTATATAATTACTTATATACTGTCTCCCGTCTCTACACATACAGCAAATGAAATAAAAGAATAAGTGCTTCAAAGATTATTATGTCATATTAAGAACATTAAATTTATCTTTTATTCAACTATTTTATATATTTAATTTTTTTTATCCAACATTAATAAAAATGAAACAAATTTCATCGTTATTATTAGAATTGCATGTTTAATGTATGTTTAATAATAAATAATATTGAGAATTCGATCTGTGTTAGCTAATTATTGCAACCAAACGAATTTCTGGAAAAATAACATTACTACAGTATCAAAAAATATTTATGATGAAATCAAATTAGTTATCTACACCAAAACCGGGAGAGACCGGCAGTGAGCTTGTGGTACTATTTGCCGGTCAAAATAAACCGGGAGAGACCGGGAAATACCGAGAGGAGACCGGCGAATAATCCATCCCGAATATTGTTCTGACAGTTTACGTTTTCAATCAAGAAAGAAATTGACAGGAAGTTTTCGTGGATAAATTGTGTATTCTTGAGTGGAAATGTTCTACATTTATTTAAATTCATATCAAAGTGGAGTATCTAAAGTTATTTGTGAATAATGAAAGAAAATTATGTATTTAACCAAATTTATGGATGGGTTTCTTTCTAATCGTTTCCTGTGAATTATGTTCGGGTTAAAATGTCAAAAATGTATAGGAATTTTTACCAGGTGATTCTCCTAGTGTTCTTTGCATGTTCCACTTTTACTGAAAAGAGTATCATTACTGCACAAGCAGTCTCTTCATCAACAGTTGAATCTTCCTCGCAAGAACTTGAAAGAATTCCTTTGCCTGATGAAAGTAAGTATTTCTGTATGATTTGATATATTAAAATTAGAGGGGGTGGGGGCTGTAATCAACTAATATTATAGTGAGGTAGTACTAAACAATGAGTGCAAAATGTTTTGGGCACAGAAAGCCCTGACAGGGTTTAAATCGTAACTGCCCCAATTCTTTGATTTATTTGCAGATTTAAAGAATAGCATACCCAAAATTTCAGCATATTCCGAGGTGTAAATGAGAAAAAAAATGACATACCCAAGACATCATCTGGATTAAATAAATTTTATGTCATATTTTTATGTCTGGACACAGTACTGTAGTTAGGAAAATTTTGATACCCCCTCCAGGTGCTTAAAGTGTCAACATAAACAAAAATAAATAAACTAGCTTTTCAGTTGGGGAGAAGAACCTACATGCACTTTGAGGTACTTTGTCAAATATTCAAGAATTTAGCTTTAAAATGGAAAAATTTGTATGGAAAAAATGTGCATAATGTGTCTGGTTGATGGTCCCCTACCAGTATAAAGGTTATCTGTATGGTATATTATAAATGTAAAAACAATACTTTGGTTTACAGTGAAAACACTTGTCCATTTAAAGACCATTTACTCATTAAAATTGTCCATAACTAACATTAATTTTTTGTATTACAGTCTGTTTTGCACTTAAGTGCAGTATCAATTGCAGTTGTTGGCTAGACATTAGAATCTATCAACAGCTATTTTTAACATTATGATTTTTCCCAATATCATTTCTGCAAGGTTCTCGGGGACGCTTATTTTGGCGTCCCGGTACGCATGTTTATTACAGCTGGACGCAAATATTTCAGAGCAAGGATTCCACGTACGCTTAATTTTGCCTGGGGACGCATAAACATTACCGATTGTTTACAACCACAAATACACAAATGCGTCAGCGCGTGTCAGTCTATGGTAGGCGGTCCTATGCACATCGACCCGTGAAGCGATTAGCCAATCAGCGCTTACGCTTCCGATCATTATCACGCAATAGTGATTAGACTAATGTATACACGCGCTGTATATGTAATTACCAGATATAACACGAGGTGATAATTTTATATCTTTGATCAACAGTTGATTGGAAATTAGCAAATTTTACCGACAAAAGGATAAATTATCGATTACACCGCAAGTTTAAAGACTGTTTTCTCAAATTACAAACGAGTGTAATTTTGAATGATTGTCCAATAGTTTCGGCATTTTCTAGGCACAATTTTGCTTTAGTTTCATTCTTGCAAAATCTTTCTATAAGAGTATTAAGAATTTAAGATATTTTGCCGAAATGCCAGGACAACAAACCAAAATACACATACACTTTTCTTTGATATTTAGATTCTATCCGAAAATTGATCCCGAACATCGGCGATTTCACGTTCGCCAGAAACCCTAAAATTTTGCAAAAATTCTCGGTTTCCAAGCCAAACATACGAATGAATTGTTCTTTTATTATTTAATCAACTTTAAATCTTTAAATATCGATCTTCAATTTGCCCCCTTTTGAAGATATTTGCTAAAATAATTGTCGACGGATGAAACTCTTACACACTGTGTGAAGCTGTACACGATTTTCCTATTCATTCCGCTAAACGCTTTACGTTTTTTTTTACAAATCTTTAGAGTGGACTTATTTAACCAGAATAAAATTAAATTTGGTATAAAAGTGAAAAAACAAAAACAACGATTTCCATGTGTTGATGCATTATAATGAAATAATTTCATAATGAATATTAACAACAAAACAATAATTATACTATGTAGTTCAGAGTTTCTTTTGAATAACTATAAACTTTGGAAGTCTCTTGAAGATTCAAAATATCAGCAATACTATTGTGAGCATTGAATGACTAATCTGTAAACATATTAATTGCGACACGCTTTTGGACTCCAACTTTTTCAGGGTTGGGAGTCCATGGACTCCATGTTTTAAAGTCCTAGTGAGAACCCTGAAATTTCTTCTAATTTATGTTTTTCTAGGGGTTAGTGTTATTGGTAAGGGTAAGGGTTAGAGAGTTATGGAATATGGTTAGGATGTTAAAACATGGATTTTGCTGCAGACAGATTTTAAAAGTGTTCCCAGTTGTCAAATTAGAAAATATTTCTAATTTTCCACATCAACATCTTAATCATATGGAAAAAACAAACAGGTTTACACGGTTTACATGTACAAATCTGATGTGTAGTAATTTTGATAATTGTCATTTTGCTACGTGTTTTTGAGAAATTTTATGTCATTAAGACTTTGCAGTATTATGTTAACTGCACAAATTTGTTTGATGCATGCTTCAAAGTTTCTATAATTGATGACTCAACATATTTGAATGGGACCAAAACATTTCATGGCATTGTGTCTCAGTGTACTCTGAGAAATTTAAGAAAATGGCAAACTCTGAAATAACAAAGACAAATATTTGATATGCAAACATTTGTTTCTAGATGATGATTTTGCTTAATATAATGAAAACTTAATTTAATTAGTAGCCATGTTTTATCAGTGATGATCATGTACTTCATTTTGTATTGTACTAAAGAGATGTTTAATTTACAACACTTTTCACTTTATAAATTAACAAGCTAATCAGCCTAATAATATCTATATAAACAATATTTTAAACATGTTATGTTTACTTCTTATGAGGAAGACATTGGGCAAAAATAACAATAATAAAAATAAGAAGCAACGCCTTCTAATGAGGCCTAGAACATATATATATAGTATATACATATTATGTGATAATGTAATTAAGAGAAAGATTTTTAAAAGCATTGTTGAATTTGTCATTTCTGATTAACAATTTGATGTTAAACTCCTAAATCTCTGTTCCTTGTATGTTATGTATATGATCATTGTAGTACATGTACCAGTATACAGTGTACATGTTGGATCATCATCTAATTAAATATATAAGTTATATATGATGGTACTGGAATCTGTATCTACTTGGTCAACAGGTCAAATGTAATGTTCACATAACTAAGAGTACATGATAGCTAGATTTCTGCAATGTATCAGGTAATTGTAACAGCATGTTAACAGATGCTAAATAGCAAGCGAACATGCCAGTTGAACACTTAATTTGTGTTTAATTACAGATACAACAAACTTTATGGCCTTTAATTAAGGGTCTGCATTATAGTGCTCAATTTGTAGATAATTTACTTAATGTAATTCTTGGACGTTATTCTAAACCTTTTTTTTTTCAGGTTGTTCAACTTTCTTCCCTATGGGCCAAACTGTTTATTTATTCATGGGTTAAATGCATTGTGCTGAGTTGATACATTTGGCGCACCTTCAGTGCATTTTTTTGTTTGGTTGTAAATATGTCCAATCTTTTTTAGCTTCTTTATTTGTGAAGAATAGCCTGTTTTATTGTTAAAGAAACTTTAGTGAAACCATGTTCGTGACATAAACACAGCAACATTAATTTAATATATAATTATATTCAAATTGTACATTAGCATGTGTATTTTACTTATACAAAAAAAAACTGTCCATTGTTACTCCAATATTTACTACACAGTGAAGCTATTTTAAAAATGAAAACATAGCACAAGTAAACGGTCTGATATTTTTTTTGTAAAAAAGGACAGTTTTCAGCCTCTGTTATAATATAAAGTTATTATACTATTTAATACGATAATTTGCAGAAATTATGTTATTACGATAATTTGCAGAAATAATACTATTATGATAATTTGTAGAAATAACAATACAACATGGTTTTACATGTAATATTTTGTGAGGGAATGGTGCAGATTGATTGATTAGTAGACTTTAGTTTAGATCCAGTTCTTTGTGCAGTGACATAATTATAATATATACAAGTACACATTTGAATATTTTGGTTGACATTATGCATAACTGTTTAATCATTATTATAAGATGAAGTGCAGGAAGTTAAAGCTCCACATACATTGTATATATATGATCTCTCATATCAATATTAGGGTGACCGTTTCAAGGTCAAGTCTTCATGTTTCAATGTATATGTATATGCTGCATTATGCATGTACAATTGCGCATGTACATAAAATGTACTTGAAACATAATGAGATATTTGATATAAGCCTACATGTAGAACAACTTGGAATGATCAGCCTGAGGTTGTAGGGTGACTTAAACTCAACACAGGCATTAGGGTTCAAGCTGTGGGTCAGACTAAATATATATATACACATTGGGTCAGTTTACATACATTGGGTCGGACTACATATATTAGGTCGGACTACATACATTTGGTCAGACTACATACATTGGGTCAGACTACATACATTTGGTCAGACTACATACATTGGATCAGACTATATACATTGGGTCAGACTACATACATTGGGTCAGACTACATACATTGGGTCAGACTACATACATTGGGTCAGACTACATACATTGGGTCAGACTACATACATTGAGTCAGACTACACATACATTGGGTCGGACTACAAACATTGGGCCGGACTACATACATTTGGTCAGACTACATACATTGGGTCAGACTACATACATTGGGTCAGACTACATACATTGGGCCGGACTACATACATTTGGTCAGACTACATACATTGAGTCAGACTACACATACATTGGGTCAGACTACATACATTGGGTCAGACTACATACATTTGGTCAGACTACATACATTGGGTCAGACTACATACATTTGGTCAGACTACATACATTGGGTCAGACTAAATACATTGTAATCTATATGGATCACATCACGGCTGGCCTTGATCGATACTGGTAGCATAGGGGTTGGACGACTCACGGTTATCAGACCTGCCTTATTCATAATGCATCTTGCATTCAGCCTACCTTATAGAGATAAACCGAAACACGGCATATATGGGTTTCTCCCATTCAATCCCTAGGTTACAGTTACAGTTTGGTAAATTTATCCGGAATATCGAGGTGGTCATTCTAGTGGTGCACCCACCATAAAGTTAAAAGGTCAGTTTGTTTGCACTAGGGTATAAGATCTGAAAGCCCCACAATTGCAGAAT